CTCATACCATTGGATACCTGTAATAAAACACTGAAAATCACTTACTTTATAATAAAGTTCATCCCATGAGTTCATGTTTTAATAATCCACATAACAAAAGAGTAAATATGTATAAAACTCTTCTGCTGCATACAGCAAGAAGTTTGTTGGTGGTCTTGAACAAAATTATGTGTAAGATTATTTAAATTGCATGCTGATATGGAGACTTTTTCACAATATCCTATCTTTAGTTGAAACAACAAATTATGTTTATTTAGAGTTGAATATATGCAAGGTATTTTTCTGAAAATGACAAAGTAAGTCTGTAACTTTCAGAACATAACTGACAGCTCATTGTCTATCCAGCACTGAGCTTCAAAACTTCCTAATACATAGGTTTTTTTAAAAAATAAAATTGGTGGCAATATTAACAGAGGTGATTTTTATATGATATATCTGATGTGGCACTTAGAAATCTGCATAACTCAGAGAACTAATTAATTTCCAAAGAACTAATGTGTGACATTACAAAATCCTGTGTAGATTAAAAATTCATTGAAAGTATGGGCAAGACCACTATAGTTCAGCACAGATGATCAATTTGGATTAAAAAATGCCTAGATAAGTCAGGTGCAGGTGGCTCACCCCTATAATCCTAGCTACTCAGGAGACCGAGATCTGAGGATGGAGGTTTGAAGCTGGCTCAAGCAGAAAAGTCCCCATGAGACTCTCATCTCCAATTAACCACTCAAAGAACCAGAAGTGATACTGTGGCTCAATTAGTAGACCCCCTAGCCTTGATCACAAAGAGGCTCAGGGACAGTGCCCAGGCCCTGAGTTCTAGCCCCACAACCGACCAAAAAAAAACAAACCCAAAAAACAAAACAATACCACACACACACACAAAGCCTAGATAAGTAAAAAGCACACCTCTGAGTGTGTCAGTGATGTTGATTGCAGAGGCAATTAGGTCCTGAAGGCTTTGACCTAATCAGTGGACTAATCCCTTGATAGATTCCTAACATAATGGCTTAATTGGGAGGTGGTGAAAGGTAGCAGGTGGGAGCCAGGTAGAGAAAGTAGGTCACAGCGTCCAGGCTTCTTCCTCTATTCTTTGCTTTCTGGCCTTCAGGATGTGAACTTTCCTACTCCAACAGGTCCTTGAAATCTCTGCAACTTTGATCTAAAGTAAACCTTCTCTTTAGTTGTTTCTGTATTATTTGTTCCAGCACAAGAAAAGCAACAACAGTCACTAAATATTAATGTATGGGCTGGGAAGGTGGCTCAGTGGTAGAGTGCTTGCCTTGCAGGCATGAGGCCCTGGGTTCGATTCCTCAGCACCACATAAGCAAAAAGAAAAAAGCTGGAAGTGGCGCTGTGGCTCAAGTGGTAGAGTGCTAGCCTTGAGCTGAAGAGCTGAGGGACAGTACCCAGGCCCAGAGTGCAGGCCCCACAACCGGACCCCCCCCAAAAAAAACATTAATGTATGAGTTCATTGATATATTTTCAAATTCTGTATTGTAACTTCAAGCAACCAGTACTTAGTACTTGTTGAGTATTCCATCTAAGAAAAAATCCTTAATTATTTTAGAAATGCTACACAATACTCTTCCCTTTTACAACACTACGTTTCTATATCAGGCCAGATTTTCTTCATGTACTTCACTTGAAGAAACAGGATGAGGATCAGATATGAATATTTGTCAATCTTTTAATAATTTACATATGTAGAAGATTTGAAAATGTAAAGTAATACCGCTTTTCTCAACACATTATTTTTTGTCCTGGAAAATAAAATTACTTCTCATAGCAATGTATTATATATGATCATGTATACTTATATCATTTTAGTAATTAATCAGTAATTCAGTACCCAAATTTATATTTGAACTCCCAAAATAAATTCAGATCATAAACATATACATTCCTTTTTTTTGTTTTGTTTTTGCCAGTTCTGGGGCTTGAACTCAGGGGCTGAGCACTGTTCCTGAAGTCTTTTGCTCAAGGCTAGTACTCTACCACTTTGAGCCACGGCACCACTTTCAATTTTTTGTTGTTGTTGTTGGTCATGGGGCTTGAACTCTGGGCCTGGGTGTTCTCCCTCAGCTCTTCAGCTCAAGGCTAGTGCTCTACCACTGAGCCACAGCGCCACTTCCAGTTTTCTGTGGTTTACTGGAGATGAGTCTCATAGCCTTTCCCGCCTGGGCTGGCTTTGAACAGGGATCCTCAGATCTCAGCCTCCTGAGTAGCTAGGATTACAGGCATGAACCATTGACGCCTGGTTTACCACTTTCAATTTTTGAGTGCTAAATTAGATTTAAGAGTTTTCTGCCTGGGCTGGCATCAAATCATGATCCTCAGATCTCAACCACCTGAGTAGCTAGAATTACAGGTATCGGCACCTGGATACATATATATTTTATATGTCACAGAGGATAAAGATTTGCTACCAAATGACTATCCATGTTGTATTTCCATTTGCTACAAAGCACCATCTGGAATTTCAATTCCTTTCTCCTGCCACAGTGTCATCAAACATATGGCTTGATGCTGAACATTTGAGTATTTCGAAATCCCAGTTAAATATAACTGGTTCCTCTGCCTTTTCTATCTCTTGTTCTTTTAAGTTTACAAACAGTTTGAGGAGGAACCTCTGAAGCTATGTTCCAAACTGCAATTCTTTTCTTGGTTTTCTTTTTCTGGTACTAAGATTTTAACATGATGCATTTGCTCAGCTTGCTTGCTTTGCTGCTCCACCACTTGAGCCATATCTCTAGTCCAGGTGTTCACTGGCTATTTTGAAGATAGAGTCTTACAGATTTTTCTGTCCAGGCTGGCCTTGAACCATAATCTTGCAGATCTTAGCCTCTCCAGTGGCTGACAGGCATGACTCACTAGCGTCTGACCATCAATCTTCAATTTGTTATCTCTATTCTTCAGATGACACAAAGTGGTCTCTGCATTGTTTACTGAGATAACCGCAAGAATCTGACCTTAATTAGTGAAGTATGCAACTAAATTAAGGGAAACAAAACCACTAACACTAAATAATTATTCACCATGCACCAGGTGCTTTATATATAGTACTGTTAATTTCACAAAATACAAGGTATAATTTATTATAGACACTTTTCAGATAAGGAAACTGCTTGAAAATTCTGTCTGAGGCAAAGTTGCTAATAAATGGTAGACCTGGAATTAAAACAAAGCATGTTTTTCTCAGTAATCTGATATAATGGTTTGAGCTAGTAAATGTAGAACATGGACTTGCAACCAAGCCTCTTGAGATTGTGCTTCAACCTCACAGCTAATTTGTTACTGTAAATATGACAGTAATCAAGTTTCTGAGCTCTCAGTATGTCTAACAGACATTGTATGCATGAAATCCTCCCAACAACCCCATGAAGGTCCTTTTGTTCTCCCATTTTACAAAAAAGGAACAATAGGGCAAATCACACATTTGGTAAGAGTCATGCATATTCCTCATTCCCTCATTTAGTATGTTGGAAGATGTGAGTTACTGAAATTCCTTTGGCATTAACATTCTTTTGTTTTTTTCTGTGGAAAACTCATTCATTGCTTCAGTGATCAACTCTGTATTTGAAGACTTCCAATTCTGTAATTTTAGTCCTAATATCTGAGATCTGAGTTGCTATTTGTGATTTTCAGTATTGTCACTTTCCCTGTAAGTTGTCATCCTTTCCCACTTTCTCTTTTCCACTCAATTTTTTCTAATTGTCTCATGTTAACATTTTCGCCTGTCTCTAGTAATTTATTTCCAAATAAGTTTCCTATCTTTTAAGTGAAAAATCTCTCCATCTCTCTCATACTAGGGATTGAAATCCAGGGCCTCCATATGTTTGGAAAGTGCTCTACTCCTAAAAGGTACCTCTGGTTTTGTGTGTGTGTGTACTGGGGCTTGAACTCAGTGCTCTGAGTTTTTCTCAAGGCTGACACAGTACCACTTGAGCCACAGCTCTGGCTTTTTGGTGGTTAATTGGAGATAAGAGTCTAATGGACTTCCTGCCCTGGCTGGTTTTGAATCGTGATCCTCAGATCCTCGTAAGTGGCCAAGATTACAGGTGTTAGCCACTGTGCACAGCTCCCTTTGCCTACTTTAAAATTGGGTTCTTTAGCGGGGACTCCTGGACTTCGGGTCTGGGGTCCAAAAACACAGTTTCCTTCTACGAGTGAGTTAATTCCGGTGGTGTTCTCTGGTAGAGACCCGGTGAGCTCATCCCGCACTCCTTCGTTGCTTGTCCCCATCGCTTAGGGCTAAGCGGTACCACTCACTCCGCACTAACCTAACAGGGTTCTGGTCAGGCAGCCGCAGCCACACCGAGGCCAGTGAACTCGGGCACCCCCCCTCCCCCCGGCCCCCTACAAATGAACGCAACCCAAAGATTCGCCTCACAGGATTCTGGGACAATGACTCAAGACAAACAATGCCGGTAAAAGTACATTCTAGAGCAAACCTAAGGTACTTTCTTTTTTTGCCAGTCTGGGGCTTGAACTCGGGGCCTGGACGCTGTCCCTGAGCTTCTTCTGCTAGTGCTCCACAGCGCCACTTCTGGCTTTTTCTGTTTGTGTGGTGCTGAGGAATCGAACCCAGGGCCTCATGCGTGCGAGGCGAGCGCTCTACCACTGAGCCACCTTCCCAGCCCTCTAGGGCTCGGGGCGCGTCGAATCCGGTACACGGCGATCCCCAAACACCTCAAGCAGCGTCCCCAAACGTCTGGCAGCCAGTGGCTATAGGAGTGTGCAGCGCCGCGCTCTGCGTCTGCGCCACGGGGGGCCTCACACCGCCACCACACAGTCGGGGAAGCAAGCAGAGAGCGACCAGACAGCCGTCCAAGTTCGAGGGAGGAAGACGTTCCGCCAAGGCAAGCCAGTACCGGCACCCACGCATGCGCAAGGACCGCTCGCGTCGTACGTGCTCACGTCATCACCGCGCGCGCCGTCCAACCCAGTCTGCAGTTGGGCGGAGAACGCCGTCTTCCGGTGGAGGAGAGGGCGGGGCCTGTGGTGGACGGCCGGTGGGCGCGCTCACCTGTCGCCCATCCAGAACTTTCCTTCATTGAGTCCGGCCGGCCCGGGAACGTAACGTGGAGGCGTTTTTTTTCTTTTCCCTCTGAGCTCCTACCAGCCGTGACTTGGCCATGCCGAACTCGCGGCCTCGGTCCAGGCCCCGCCGGGGCGCCGCCATTGCTGCGGGCCGGGACGAGCTGGTGTCGCGGTCCCTGCAGAGCGCCGAGCACTGTCTGGGCGCCCGGGACTTCGGCACGGCCTACGCTCACTACCTGCTGGTGCTCAGCCTGGCCCCGGAGCTGAAAGACGGCGTGAAGGTGAGGCCCCGCCCCGGCCTGCGGGCGCCGCCGCGGGTCCTGGAGGGAAGGCGCCCCGAGCTCCCACACCCCCAAGCCCGGCACAACGGGGGTTCCTTCAAAAACCAATGTCCGTAATATTCACAGTCCCTCGCCCGCTTCTCGTGGGCTGCCCTGGGTCACGCCTCAGTGCGCTTCCCATTTGGGGGATTCGAGCTGCCTCAACACAGGTGTTCGTTTTACTTGGGAAAAATTAGATGTCACGTCTCTGTCGCCACATTTCCTTAGTTAAAATCCCGAAGATCGACGGATTGCAAAATGAGGGGGGGTCACCAATAGCCTCTTTCTCACTTACATGTAATTTCAGTACCCTTCTTTTGGGAGACCCCTGCATTTCTATTTGCTGTATGTGAAAGGGATGGTTGTGGGTCACTGTCGTGGAATACAGCGCCCTGAACTTCATCTTTGGCTTCACTCATTGATGATTTGCAAGTTACTCTGTTGAAACACGTCCGTCCCCCTTCTTCTTCTTCTTCCTTTTTTCGTCCAAGTAGTTTTAGAATGTAGCTTCTTCAGTTGCTGCCGCTTCATTTTGTCCAGGGTTTCTCACCCTTAATACTAATGACATTCTAGGTAAAATAATTCCTTATAGTGGGGAAGGAGAGCACGGAGCATCTTAGTCCTACCCACTAGATGTCAGTAGCATCTAGACTTTTGTAGTTCACTTAAATTTCAGGACCAGCTGTCCTGTTCCATTTAGGAGGAGGAGATGTTGTGTGATCCTTTTCTTTCTCTATGTAGTCAGCAGTAGAGTAGTGGTCAATCTAAGTGTTCTTTACAGCTCTGTGTTTCCTAGTTTCCTGTATTGTAAACAGGGACAGTATGTCTCTTAAAGATACTTAGTGTTTTTTGTTCTTGTGGGTTTTTTTTTTTTTGCCAGTCCTGGGGCTTGAACTCAGTGCCTGGGCACTGTCCCTGAGCTTCCTTTGCTCAAGGCTAGCACTCTACCACAGCAACACGTTGGCTTTTTCTGTTTATATGGTACTGAGGAATTGAACCCAGTGCTTCATGCATGCTAGGCAAGCACTCTACCACTGAGCCACATTCCCAGCCCCATATTTAGTGTATTTAAACCATCCCAGCTGTCTTTACATTGTTAGTCCACATCCCTTTCTCCAATAAACAAGCCAGGTGGGCATGGTTAAAAAAACAAAAAGAAAGAAAAGAGCCCGGCGCCAGCTCACGCCTTTAATCCTAGCTACTTAGGAGGCTAAGATCTGAGGATCTGGGTTCAAAGCCAGCCTGGGCAGGAAAGTTGGTGAGACTCTTATCTCCAATAAACCACTAGAAAACTGGAAGTGGCGCTGTAGCTCAAGTCGTAGAGCGCTCACCTTGAGCTGAAGAGCTGAGGGACAGCGCCCAAGCCCAGAGTTCAAGCCCCACGACCGACAAAAACAAACAAACAACAAAAAAAAAAAACAAAAAGAAAATGTCTGACACTTGCAAAATGTGTGAGGTGAGGCCCTGGGATCTAGTCCTCAGTAGTGGATAAAAACACATGCATAAAAATTGTATTCATTTGGCAGATGCCCTATGTCGTATTCAGTAGGGTTCTATTTTTCTGCCAAACTATCATTTCCTCCTCTTCCCTCTTTATCTCTTGAAAAAAGGAACAGAATTTATGTTGCTCATCATTTTGATTTAGCCTAGGTTAACACTGAATGCTGAGAAAATATTAGAAAAGAGCCACATGTGAGGAAATGCTTGTTTGGTTGTAATGACTAGTAGGAAGCTGTATGAGTCAGAAAATCAAGGACTGAATTGTAAATGATGTAGCATCATTTACAAATAGGGGAGAAGGTTAATGCATTGGCAATGAGTAAGAAAAGAGGAGAGGGTCAAGGAGAAACTCCAGAAATACTGATCTAGAAAAAAGAAATAGGAGAACAAGAGATTTTGTGATATGGCAGATAAGCATGCAAAGAGTTAGAATGCTCAGCCTGTCTAATTCTGCATATTATTGCAATATAATAGTAAAAGTCATTTTCCAGAACCATTCAGTGAGATTTTTTTTTTTTGGTCAGTTGTGAGGCTTGAACTCTGAGTCTGTCTTTATTGACTTTTTTTCTTGTTTATAAAGGAAACTTTTCAGTATACATTGTTCAAATGGGCAGAAGAACTTGATGCACTCAATCGAATACAAGACTTACTCAGTTGTTACGAACAGGCCTTGGAACTATTTCCTGATGATGAAGTGATTTGTAATAGTATGGGGGAACATCTCTTCAGGTTTGTACTAATTTCTGTATTACTTGCTAAGTATTATTCTGTATTAGGAGTAAGTGATAAATTATACAGTAATTTGCCTTGTTTGAGATGGAGCTTCACTGGTCTTCTTGGTTGCAGGCTAGTCTAGAACTCACAGGCTTAAGCGAGTCCTATATTATTCTACTGAGTAGCTGAGACTATACATATGTACCACCATGCCTGACAATTTAAGTAATTTGATACAGGGAAGCTTTAATGTGAGGTATTAACAGGTAGTTGATGTAATGAAGGATATGCTAGTAACAAGGAAAAAACAGGAATAGTAGATATAATCTGAAATATCATAGTAGTTGTATTATATCATTTACTACATAATCACTTGCCCTTACCTTTATTATCTATGCCAGTGTTGGTTTTTTTAAAATACTTTTTGTAATAAAAAACGGTCTGTTAAAAAAAAATCGCTGTTGCCAGGTGCTGGTGGCTCACGCCTATAATCTTAGCTACTCAGGAGACTGAGATCTGAGGATCACGGTTCAAAGCCAGCCTGGGCAGAAAAGTCCGTGAGACTCTAATCTCCAATAAAACTACTAGAAAACTGGAAGTGGCGCTGTGGCTCAAGAGGTGGTGCGTTTATCTTGAGCTGAAGAGTGCAGGGACAGCGCCCAAGCCCAGAGTTCAAGCCCCACGACTGACAAAAAATAAAAATAAAAATAAATCACTGTTCTAGGAGAGAAAATACAGCTTTCTCTCTGGACATTTATTTGTGAAGTATCTTGAGTATTTCAACTTTATAACCTTTTATTAATCCAGTATCATCAGATTTAAACAAATGTATTTAAATGAATAATTAGATGAAAAGGTGTTTTTTTTAACTCATTGACACCATGTTGAGTTTCGGAATATAACTGTTTAGAAATCTATGATATATGAGCTGCATGCTATCACATTGTGTAATTTTACTGGCCAGCAAACAACCAATTTCAAGAAAGGACAAATTAGAGAGGCACTGTTCTAGGTGGCTTGATAGTTTTGTTCACTCCCACCCCCTCTTCCCTTCCCTGCCCTTGCCTTGCCCTTTTCTTTTCCCTCCCCTCCCCTCCCCTCCTCTCCCCTCCTTTTCTTTTTCTGCCAGTCCTGGGGGTTTGAATTCAGGGCCTGGCACTGCTCCTGAGCTTTTTTGGCTCAAGGCTAGCACTGTACCAATTGGGACACATTGCCACTTCCAGCTTTTTCTGAGTAGTTTATTGGAGGTAAGAGTCTCATGGACTTTCTTGCCTGGGCATGTTTGAGCCACGATCCTTGTATCTTGGTTTCCCGTGTAGTTAGGATTACAGACACGAACCACTGGTACCCAGCTTAACCTGGCATTTTGTAATGGTCACAAAAAGCTTTCCAAAGAACATATCCTATATTCTTTTGGATATGAATGTTAATAAGGGATTCTCACATGTAGTTGAATGTGTTTTGTCTTTAACTTTTCTTTTTGTTGTTCTAGAATGGGATTTAGAGATGAAGCAGCTGGATATTTTCATAAAGCAGTAAAGTTAAACCCTGAATTCAATGATGCAAAGGAGAATTTTTATCGTGTTGCAAATTGGTTGGTTGAGCGCTGGCACTTTATTATGCTTAATGACACCAGAAGGAATCTTGCCTACAATGCAGCAATCCAAAAGGCTGTCTGTTCGGGGTCCAAAAGTGTTTTAGACATTGGAGCAGGAACTGGAATATTGAGGTTTGTTGTAATTGCTCTTTGATTACATTTTCACCTGTATTAATGTAAATTGAAGCTTATTCCAGATACCAAAAATTGGAATTTTAAAGTAGCACTTGTTTTTCACTAATTTTGTTAAGAATTAGAGAAGACTGCTATGCAAAATTTGGATTACTGAAATTTTGAGTTTCTCTTAAGAGAATTTTTTTGTATTAGCATTGTGGTGGTAGATGCTAGAAAGCCTCTTGGCAGTCTTCTCATCTGTCTTAAAAGTGTGCTACATGCATATTGAGTGATTTTTTTTCTGGACAAGAATATTCTTTTTTTTTTCAGTTCTGAGACTACAGAATGAGTAATGATTAAAGAATAAAACCTCCTATTTCTAGCTTTACAAGTCTATTAACATTTTGATGGAGTCCTTTTCTCTTTCATAGTATGTTCGCTAAAAATGCTGGGGCACTGTCAGTGTATGCATGTGAGTTATCCAAGACCATGTATGAACTTGCTCGTGATGTCGTATCTGCAAACAAGATGGACACGGGGATAAAACTTTTACACATGAAGTCACTTGACTTAGAAATTCCAAAACATATTCCTGAAAGGTATTATAAATTTTCTTATTTACAAGTCACTATTTTTTTGGTAAGAATTAAGATACATTTCTAGCATCTAGTCCTAACAAAAAATACCAACACCCTTAGTTTGTAAAGATAGTTTAATAAAAGACAGATTTCCTATTAGCATCATGTAAGTGTTAACAAAAAAAATTAAGATCTTGGGAAAAATCTGTGGCAAGGGATTTAATAAACTTTAGATTTCAATGTTTTAATTTGTGATCCTTAACTTTAAAAATAAGTTTAGTGTGGTGCTACATACCTGTAATTCCAGTCACTTGAGACGTGGAGAGGATTACAGCTCTAAGCTGGTCCCCGGACAGTGGTTATCAAGACCCCATCTCAACTAAAAGCCCTGTATGGTAGTTCATATTAAGTGGAGAAGGCATAAGTAGGAGGATTGAATTCTGATACTAGCCCTAGGAAAGAAAGACCCTATCCAATAAATAAGACAAAAAAGGACTAGGAATGTTACTTGAGTGGTAGAGTCTTTGCCTCACAAGAACAAGGTCTTGAGTTCAAAACCCCAAAGCAAAAAGCCCAGTAACTCATTCCCCCAAACATGAACGGAGCTAAAATAATGGACTTAACACACTTTGTGTTAATGCTGCCCTTGTTGAAAATGAAAGTTTTGACAGTGTCACTTGTTAATGATTTTTGGCCTCTGCCTCACTGTGATATATATCATAATAGTCATGGGATTTTAGAACTAGAAAGGATTTCAAGATCATCTGGTCTGACAACATAATTTTAGGAACTTTTTAAAATAAAATACTTGTTTTATAGACTCTTTTGGGTTGTGTTTCCCTATGGTACTTAAATTTAGTTGATATTGAAAAAAGTTACTTTGGACTCTATTTTTATATAATAATACTGTATATACATACACTTTTCAATGGTCTCTGCATTTGTTCTTCCCATTAGAGAACTATAATTAAATTGCTGAGGCATATACATATCACTTTTATGAGAAAACAACAACAAAAATATTTTTAAAAACCACTGTTCCAGGGGCTGGGAAGGTGGCTCAGTGGTAGAGCGCTTGCCTTACATGCCTGAGGCCCTGGGTTCGATTCCTCAGCACCACATAAGCAAAAAGAAAAAAGCCGGAAGTGGCGCTGTGGCTCAAGTGATAGAGTGCTAGCCTTGAGCTAAAGAGTTGGGGGACAGTGCCCAGGCCCAGAGTTCAGGCCCCACGACCGGACCCAAAAAAAAAGAAAAAGAAACAACAACACTGTCCTGAATTGTGGTGTTGTGCTAATTGTGTTGTGTTCTGGTTGCCTTAACACAATTCTACAGTCTATATAGCTTAAATAAGAGATGTGTATTTTTTAAAATGAGAGGTCTTATCTTGAAGATGATCACCTTCAATCTGTCTTTACCTGGTTTTTCTCCTATGTGTGAATGGTCTCTGATTTCTCTCCTTTTATAAGGACACTAATATATACTACATTAGGATCCTACTCTGAAGACCTTTTATTTTTTTTTTAAATCGGTTGTGGGGCCTGAACTCTGGGCCTGGGCACCGTTCCTCAGCTCTTCAGCTCAAGGCGAGTACCCTACCGCTTGAGCCACAGTGCCCCTACCGGCTTTTTCTGCTTTATGTGGTGCTGAAGAATTGAACCCACGGCCTCATGCATGCAAGGCAAGCACCCTACCACTGAGCCACTTTCTCAGCCCCTGAAGATCTTTTTTTAAAAAACATTTATAAGCTTCTAAACTCTTTTTCTAAATACTGTCATATTAGAGTTTAGAGTTTTAACCTAAGAGTTGAGGAGTAGATGCACATAATTCAGCCCATGGATACTTTAATTCAATTTGTATTTTTCTCATAAAGTTGCAGTAAGATCTATTATATTTTAATCAGTATATACAAATTTTAATTCAGCTTGTTATTCATTTTGACCTTAAACAGGTCTCTAGACTTTCAGATGTTGGATTATATGATCTGAGACACCATAAATATTCTAAATACATGCCATTATGAATATTAATTATTTTAATATGTATAATATTTGGTTTAGACACTCAGGAAAATTCTTTCTTGCCTTCAAGACACTTAAGATCTAGATAGGAAGATGAAGAATACCCATGAAACTTGTCTATCTTCAAAGTACAAAATGAATGATACTGGCAGTAAGGCTAAAGGTGTTTAGAAGAGAAGAATTATTTTGGTATGTTTGTAAGTATAACTTTCTAGAAAGAATGGATATTCTGAGCCTGCTCCAACTCAGAATAGCTTTGTGGAGACTTTAGAAAAGTGAGAGAAGAGGCACAATGAACATTTAAGAGGCAAACATGAATAATACAATATCATAGATGATAAAGATTGAGTTTTTGAAAGGTAGGAATATTATGGGCAAAGACTTTTATGAAAAAGACAGCTTATTAGAGCATATTTTAGAAGTAAAAGCATATAATTAGAAATAAGTGTCATTAAGGACAGGGACTGAGAAAGGTAATAGGAATGAGTGCCTCTTAGCACTTTAGGTAGTGGAAGAAGAGTGAGGATGTTATTCTCCCTACTCCAAGAAAGGGAAGGAATCAGTGTACAGTGGAGAACAGGAGTCAGAGGAACTTTAGAGTACAGTTCCTCAAGATTCAGAGGAATACTGAAATGAACTGTGTGAGAAAGTTACTTGTGGACTGTTTCTATAAAAACTGTAAGCTTTGACATCTTTATATAAATAGCATGTCATTTTACTTACATATATCTTTAAAAAATCATTCTATAGAGTTTCCCTAGTTGTAACAGAAACTGTCGATGCAGGTTTATTTGGAGAAGGAATTGTGGAGAGTTTAATTCATGCATGGGAGCATTTACTTTTGCCACCAAAGGTAAGCAACACAAAAACACTTAAATTTGATGAATAACTTATTGTTTTCAGATTCATTAGAGAGTTATTGGGCCCCCAAAGTATTTACAAAGCAATAGGAAATGTATTTCCCATTGTCAGGTATATACTGGGTAGTTGAAAGGAGAGCCATGCTGGGCGCTGGTGGCTCACGCCTGTAATCCTAGCTACTCAGGAGGCTGAGATCTGAGGATCGTGGTTCAAAGCCAGCCCGGGCAGGAGAGACCGTGAGACTCCTATCTCCAATAAACCACCAGAAAACAGGAAGTGGCGCTGTAGCTCAAGTGGTAGAGCACTCGCCTTGATCTGAAGAGCTGAGGGACAGCGCCCAGGTCCAGGGTTCAAGCCCCACGACCGACAAAAAAAAAAAAAAAAAAAAAGAAAGGAGAGCCATGAAGGGATATGTTCATCTGTTCATCTGTGTGCTCAGATGAGGAATTGTGGAGGGACTGACCATGGAGTTCTTGAGTATGGTTATAGAGGGAAGTACTTTCAGTTTCACACCCCTCACTGCTTGGAACTTAGGAAAACCATCAAAAGGAAGTAGAGTAACACTGGCTTGGTATAGTTGGTATAGTTGCTGATTAAATAGGACTATTATATTTTACATAGAAATTTTCTGCTATAGACCACAAGTCATAGATATATAATATAAAATGATTTTAGCATGTAATAAAAAGTTATTATAAAAATGAGAAGAATTTAAAATAAGTTAGAAGTTGAAAGAATAGCAGCAATTTATTTATTTATTTTTTTGCTGGTCCTGGGGTTTAGACTCAGGGCCTGTGTGCTGTTCCTGAGCTTTTTGAGCTCAAGGCTAGTGCTCCACCACTTGAGCCACAGCATCACTTTCAGCAATTTCTTTTTTAAGAAAGTAATGATGGGGCTGGGAAGGTGGCTCAGTGGTAGAGTGCTTGCCTTGCATACCTGAGGCCCTGGGTTCGATTCCTCAGCACCACATAAGCAAAAAGAAAAAAGCCGGAAATGGCGCTGTGGCTCAAGTGGTAGAGAGCTAGCCTTGAGCTGAAGAGCTGAGGGACAGCGCCCAGGGCCAGAGTTCAGGCCCCATGACCGGACCCCCTCCCCCCCCCAAAAGAAAAAAAAAAGTAATGATGATTTTGGATTCTCAAAGTTATACTCTAAATTTCATTTCTTATGTAGACTTCTATCTCTCAGTCTGTCCCTCCCTCCTTTGTAATTATGTTGTAAAATTAATATACACATGCATAGCAATGAGAATACTTTTAAAGAGAAAACTTCTTTAACCTACTTGTCTTTCTAATGTTCTGGTGAATTTTTGTAGCTTATCCTATGTGTATTTTTGCTTATGTAATAGGTTTTTATTACTCTATTTTCAGACCAAAGGTGAAAATGGTAATTGTGAAAAATATGGGAAAGTTATACCAGCAAATGCTACTATATATGGATTAGCAGTAGAATGTGCAGAGATAAGAAGACACCATAGGTAAGTGACTAAATAGTAAATGTTTAAAAATAATAATTTTAGTATTAATTCTGTTTCTGCTGGTACGTATGGTAATATTACCTTATAATAATTTCAGCACTCAAGTGAGAGGAAGATCTTTATTAAAAGGGCAAAGTGGGCTACATAGTGAATTTGAGGCCAGCCTGGCATACCTAACAAGACAAAATAATACCATACTTCAATTAATATTTGGTGCACAAAATCTATTTGCTGGCCTTAAACTTGTGATCTTCCTGTTTCATCCTCTGAATGCTAAAATTATATGTGAAATTATATATGGCTGGCTCTTATGTGGCTTGCCTCCAATTAGCCAAATATAGGAAAATTTAAGAACCAACATAAAGACTATTACTTAAGAATTAAACCCTTAGGGGCTGGGAAGGGGGCTCAGTGGTAGAGCGCTTGCCTTGCATGCCTGAGGCCCTGGGTTCGATTACTCAGCACCATATAAGCAAAAAGAAAAAAAGCCGGAAGTTGCGCTGTGGCTCAAGTGGTAGAGCACTAGCCTTGAGCTGAAGAGCTGAGGGACAGCGCCCAGGCCCAGAGTTCAGGCCCCACGACTGGACCCCCCCCCCCAAAAAAAAAAAAAAAGAATTAAACCCTTAAATAGGAGTCTGAGTTCTAGACAGGTGGCTGGGTGCCAGTGGCTCACACCTATAATCCTAACTACTTAGGAGGCTGAAATCTGAGTATATGGTTCAAAGCTATTCCAGGTAGGAAAGTTCCTGAGACTTACTCCCCAATTAATATAGACTAATATAAATGGTGCAGAATAACTATTTGCAGTTGTCATATAAAGATGCAGGCAAGAATCATGATGGATACTCAGGGCAATTTGGCTATTTATGTACTTATACAGAATAATACAGAAAGTACTTATTTTAAAAGGAAAATTGTTAATTGTGCAGAGATGAAACCACATAACATCTTTACCAAGAGGCTAAAGTTAATGTCACCAGTCAGCATTTAGATGGTATTGCATACAGAGTGTTAAAGAAGTACCTAGTTGCAAGGAAAACATATGCAAACCCAAGTTGGACCATTCCTTGAGATAACTGGTCTACCTTCAAAAATGTCAATGTTGAGAAAGCAAAGGAAACAGGAATAGTTCCAGATTGAAGGAGGTTAAAGAGACAGTTAACAAAATAAAGAATACCACTTGTTGGTTGGAAAATACTTAAATAACAGTACTAGGATTAAGAAATTTTAATTTTTTTGTAATAAATATATATTGCAATGTCTGTTGAAGTTTAGATGGACTCAGAAATGGGTTCAAAGGGCACAGAAAAAAATAGAGAGCACAATAAATGTAGCAAAACACTGTAAAGCTTGTGGGAGTTTTTTATATTGTTCTGGAAACTTGTATGAACTTGGATGATTTTCAAAATTAGAAAGTTAGGAGCAGAGGAATATAGATTTATATTTTTCAATAATATATATTCATATTATATACACATTTTTTAAAATGGTATGCAAAGATACACATCAAGTGTTTAATTGTGAAGAAATCAGGAGTACTGTGAAGATGATGTTCAATTTTTATTTGCTATGATGTTTTGACAATATTTTTATGTTACTGTATTTTATAATCTAAAAGGAACTTATTTGCCACGTATTTTGATAAATATGTGTATATATATGTATACATAAATACACATACGTGTATGTGTATGTGTGTGTGTGTGTTGGTCCTGGGGCTTGAACTCAGTGTCTGGGTGCTGTCCCTAAGCTTTTTTGCTCAAGGCTAGTACTTTACCAATTGAGCCACAACTCCACTTTGGCTTTTGGGTGGTTAATTGGAGTTAAGAGTCTCATGGACTGCCCTGGCTGGCTTCAAACTGCAGTCCTCAGATTCCAGCCTCTGGAGAAGCTAGGATTACAGGCATGAACCATCAATGGCCAGCTGATAACTCATTTTTTTGAGCATAAAAGTTTCTAAAAGTTTATTTGAATTTAAAAAACCTGAAACGCTTTTGAGGTTTGGAATGTTTCTTTTTACATAAGGGTGTAGCTAAAGTGTTATGAAGTGTTTCTGTTGTCAGTGTAAATTTTACGAGTGAAGCCATTTTTACCACAAATGCATAAGTCAGAAATTTATAATTTGATTAATTTCACTAAGTGGATACACTTTGGTAACCACTGCTCTGACTGAGGATCAGAACTACCACACTAGAAAGTACCCAGGAAGAAGCCCTTTTGTATTACCAGGGCTCTCACTCCCTCAAAAGTAGCTGCTCTCTTGATGTCCACATATTAATGTTTGAATTTTGTGCAAGTGATCCATTATGAGATGCATGTGTGTGCACACACATGCCTGGTTTTTCTTTTGTCCAACATGCACATACTTGTACATATATATTTAAGAAGCCTTGACCTTGACACATAAGGGTCTACCTTATATTTGCATTTATCTTGTTCTGAACTCAATATTAGGTGATATTTCTTGATTCATTGCCTTTTTTTTTTTTTAAATAAATTGCATTTCTCACCAGAGTGGTGGTTAAAGACGTTGCTGGTATCCATTTGCCACCAAATGTGAAATTTCAGAGTCCAGCTTATTCTTCTCTCGATACTGAAGAAACAGTTGAGCCTTATACAACTGAAAAAATGAGTCGAATTTCTGGAGGATATTTGGCTTTGACAGAGTGCTTTGAAATTATGAAAGTCGATTTTAATGATCTTCAGGTAAAAACAAAAATGTGATTATTCAAGCATTACATTTTATGTTTTGTTTAAAATGATATAAAGGACATGAGCTGAGCACTGGTGGCTCATACCTCTAATCCTAACTACTCAAGAAGCTGAGATCAAAGGTTTGTGGCTTGAAACCAGTCTGGGTAAGAAAGACCATAAGAATATATGACAGGGGCTGGGAAGTTGGCTCAGTAGTAGAATGCTTGCCTTGCATGCGTGAGGCCCTGGGTTCGATTCCTCAGCACCACATAAGCAGAAAAAAGCCAGAAGTAGTGCTGTGGCTCAAGTGGTAGGGCACTCGCCTTGCGCTGAAGAGCTGAGGGACAGCGCCCAGGCCCAGAGTTCAGCCCCCACAATTGGCAAAACAAACAAACAAACAAACAAAAATATATATATATATGAGACAGACTTATGAGTTTGCAATTCTACTTATAGGTTAGTAAGCGCTGAGGCTGGTTCCAGCCTCTTGATTAACTAGGATTATAGATTATATACCAGCACCTAGCCATTTTTTGATATTTGAAGTGCATTAAAATTTTTGTTTACACATATATCTTATGAAAATTTTAACTTTGCCAGTAATGGCTCTCTATATAGCACTTTCCAGCAATACAGAAAAATAGAAATGAAAAGGCCTAGTATTTTTCTTCCCTTTATGTTTCTAAGCTTTTTTGCCCCATACTAATTTGGAAGTATCTTTCTAGACTTGTTTTTTTGTTTTATGAATATAAACACACACACATACACACACACACACTTTTGTGGGACCAGTACTAGGGTTTGAGCTCTACACTTTGGGCTTGGTATAAAAGTGCTCTACCACTTGAGCCACTCCCCAGCCTTTTTTTTTCCTTTAGTTTTTGAAAAGGCTCTGCAAATGTCTAGACTGGCTTGGAACTGTGATCCTCTTATTTAGGTGGGGTGATGTGTACCAGGATGCCTAGCTTTTTTATTGGTTGAGATAAACTTGTTGCCTAAACTATCACTTAATCAAAACCCTCCCAATCTCTCTCCCTCCCCCCCCCCTCTCTTACACACACACACACACACACACACACACACACACACACACACACACATATGTAATTTATATTGGTTTGCTACTTGCCTTTGTCATCCAACAGTACATCATAGTTTTTTCTCTGCATCAGTAACTTTTTAGTAATTACATAGTACTCCAATGTAATCGGTCACAACTTCTCATGTAATGTGCTGTAAGTAACTTTAAGCACTAAGATGCTCATTTTCCAAGGGCAGGCCTGAAAAGCTGAGGGATGGAGTAGTGATACTAAGACAATACACATTCTAGTGTACTAAATCCTACTGTTGCTTTTCTAGGAATTAAAAACTCTTACAACTAAAACACCTGGCCAAATTAGCATTCCTGTTATTAAAGAAGGCACACTGGATGCCATTGTGGTTTGGTTTGTGCTCCAGCTTGATGAGGAGTACAGTCTGTCCACAAGTCCTGGCGAGGAAACTTGTTGGGAGCAGGCTGTGTACCCTGTGCAGGACCTTGCAGGTAGGTGCGTCTCATTTTTATTTTTGTTTTGATTTTTTTTCCCATTGGTACATTTGTGCACTAAAATGGGGAAAAATGACTTTGGATACGAAGTTTTCCATCGAGAGAGATTAGGTAGTCGTTCAGATTTTATTTTCCTTTTTCAGAAGTAAATTTAAGTAGCTAATACATATAATTAAGCAGAGAGATTTAAAACAGAACACTGCTGTATATCCTTAGAAATACTTACCATTAAGTGGTTTTCTGGTTAATAGTAGACAAAAGAAATGCTGGTCTAGTTTTTGATGGAAAATGTTGGCCAAGTATTGTTTTAATTGTAGGTATATTACCCATTAGAGAACCCAACGGATGGAATTTGTGGAGCACTAGGTCATAAAAGTACAACACTTGTAGCACAGAATTTTGCAGTTTGAGTTTGGGGATCCATGAACTTCCCTAGGGAAAATCTTTATCAAAGGTATTTTCTGTCTAGAAGAATTTTTTTTTAAGGTCAGTCATGGGGCTTGAACTCAGGGCCTGGGTGCTGTCCCTTAGCTTTTTTGATCAAGGCTAGTGCTCCACTGCTCAGATCTCAGCCTCCTGAGTAGCAAGGATTTACAAATATGAGCCACTAGTGCCCTGCTTAGAAGAAATTTTTGTTTTTGTTTTTGTTTTTTTGCCAGTCGTGGACTTGAACTCTGGGCCTGGGCACTGTCCCTCAGCTCTTCAGCTCAAGGCTAGCACTCTACCACTTGAGCCACAGCACCACTTCTGGTTCTCTGGTGGTTAATTGGAGAAGAGAGTCTCACGGACTTTCCTGCCCGGGCTGGCTTTGAACTGTGATCCTCAGATGTCAGCCTCCTGAGTAGGCATGAGTCACCTGCTCTGGCTTTATCTTTATTTTTGATAACTTCATTGCCAAAGATGATAGAGTCCCTTAAGTCCTCTATTATCTCTCCTACCCTCATCAATTTGGGGACATGATGACATATATAAATTTTAATTTTAAAAAGCAAATGACTTCCAGGTGCTGGTAGCTTGTATGTTTAATCCTAGCTACTCAGGAGGCTTGAGATCTAAGGATTGAGGTTCAAAGCCAGCTTGGGCCAGAAAGTCCATGAGACTCTTATTTCTAGTTAACTACCCAAAAAAGCCAGAAGTGGAGTTGTGGCTCAAGTAGTAGAGTACTAGCCTTGAGCAAAAACTCAGGGGCAGCACCAGGCCCTGACTTCAAGGCCCTAGTGTGTGTGTGTGGGCACACACGACCATAATGGTGATACAGTTAGGATCCAATAATGGGATGTGGAGCTCTTGAATCTCTCCATAGTACTACAAATTATAGAATCTTCAAAGTTTAGTTTTTCCCTAAGTTAAGCTGATGGGATTTCCCTATTTTTATATACATTAAATGTGTAAATGTAAATCCTTCTTTACATGTTTTAAATAGGGGGATAGATGTGAGATAGAGATGTGTGTGTGTGTGTATGTGTGTGTGTGATCCTCTGAGTTAAAGTGCTCCATATTAATTGCTTTTTAAAAACTCTTTCTTTTTTTACTAATGAAGACTACTGGGTAAAGCCTGGTGATCATATTACAATGGAAGCATCTTGTCAGGATTGTTACTTGAGAATCAATGTCTTGGCTTTGGACCATGAGATGGAAGTTGTAAAAAGTTTTACCAGGAATAAAGACTTGCTATCTTTCGGGAATGAGGCTGAACTCTGTAGTGCCCTGGCTAATCTTCAGACCAGTAAACCAGATTGTGTAGAGCAAATGTGTATATTGGAATCCACCGAAATTGCTTTGCTCAACAACACTTCATATCACGAAGGCTTTAAGATGGCCATGAAGAGAGTGTTATCTTCTTTGGCCCCAGAGAAGCTGTGCCAGGCTATGGATACTCAGTGTCAGGATAATGAGGTACACTGTGGAACTGGACAGAGTTACACTGCACAGGACATCCCTGAACCTTTCTATGTGTTAGATGTGTCTGAAGGCTTCTCTGTCCTGCCTATAATTGCCGGCACACTTGGGCAGGTTAAACCTTACAGTTCTGTGGAAAAAGACCAGCATCGTACTGCTCTTGACCTCATATCTGAAGCCAATCACTTTCCTAAGGAAACACTGGAGTTTTGGCTGAGGCATGTGGAGGATGAGTCTGCTGTGCTGCAGAGGCCGGAGTCAGACAAGTTGTGGAGCATAATCATACTGGATGCCATTGAACCGTCTGGACTTATTCAACAGGAAATAATGGAAAAAGCTGCAATATCCAGGTAAAACACAGAGTAGATATAAATTTCAACGTTTTGTTCAGCTCATTCTTCAGGTCAGTTCTTTTCTTGAATGGCATGGCTGCAAAAATGAGTCTGGATCATTGTTCCTTAAGTATTGCTTTTTGGTAGTTGTGACTTCATGCCTTTCTCTTTGTAGACCTGTTATTAGTACCTTTTCTGCTAAAGGAATTTGTGCACTGTAGATGTGAAGAAAAAGACCTATTTTGGATTTAGGCAGCCTATGTTTCACAGAAGGAGTTTAATGATATCTTGAAAATAGTAAGACATTCAGTATAAATACAGAGAAATCACATTTTTAAACTGTAATGTTAGAAAAACGCAGCACTCATTTGATGGCATTTTGGGAATAATTCCCTATCCTCTTGGGTTGTTTTATAACACATTTTGTAATATATTATGTCTCTTTTTAAAGGCATTTCTCCTTCAGTGTAGATTGTTTAATTCTTTTTTTTTTTTTTTTTTTGGGGTCCGGTCATGGGGCCTGAACTCTGGGCCTGGGCGCTGTCCCTCAGCTCTTCAGCTCAAGGCTAGCGCTCTACCACTTGAGCTACAGTGCCACTTCTGGTTTTCTAGTGGTTTATTGAAGATAGGATTCTCACCGTCTCTCCTGCCCGGGCTGGCTTTGAACCTCGATCCTCAGATCTCAGCCTCCTGAGTAGCTAGGATGACAGGCGTGAGCCACCGGCGCCCGGCTTATCTTTCTCTTTCTTTCTTCCTTCCTTCCTTTCTTTCTCCCTTTCTCTCTCTCCTTCCTTCCTCCTTCCCTCCCTTTCTTCCTCCTTCCCTTCCTCCCTTTCTTTCTTCCTTTCTTTGGCTTTCTTTCTTTACTCTTTTTCTCTCTCTTTTTTAAATAGATATTTAATGTAAAGGCAATGAACAGGGTGGGGGTGGGTTATAGTTACATAATTATTTTTTTCTCTTTAGGTCAGTTATCACTCTAAGTTTGACTTACTGGGAAATTATTTTCAGTAGTTTACCACTCTGAACTTGTAGTCAATAATAACACAGTCCATTAGACTGTATATAAACTGTAGCTCAGTAATTCATGGCTTTTAGTTATTGAGATCTACAAAACATAGAGGATTGAAAAACATTTTAACATATTTACCCTTCCTTAGGTGTTTACTGCAGTCTGGAGGCAAAATCTTTCCTCAGTATATGCTGATGTTTGGGATGCTCGTGGAGTCACAAACACTGCTAGAAGAGAGCGCTGTTCAGGGAACGGATCGTACACTTGGGTTAAATATAGCACCTTTTATCAACCAGTTTCAGGTGAGCATCTAGAAAAGAAATGGTGTAGGATTTCTGTCAGTGATGGAAAGGAAGGTTGGGTGCTGTTGGAATGAGAGAGAGAGAGGGAGAGGGAGAGGAGGGAGGGAGAGGGAGAGATGGAGAGAGAGGGGAGGGGGAGAGGGCTTGTATCTCTATGAAGGTTTTATAGAAATGAAAGCAGCTTTTATTGTTGTTTTTGTTTGTTTTGTTTTTGTTTTTTGGGTGCCAGTCCTGGGGCTTAAACTCAAGGCATGGGTGCTGTCCTTGAGCTTTTTACTCAAGGCTAGTGCTCTACCACTTGAGCACAGCTTTACTTCCTTGGCTGTTTTGGTGGTTAATTGGAGATAAGAGTCCCATGGACTTTCCTGGCCGGGCTGGCTTTTCAAATTGTGATTCTCAGATCTCAGCCTTCTGACTAGCTGGGATTGCAGGCGTGAATTACCAGTGCCTAGCAGAAAGCAGCTTTAAGTAACACTTTCCTCTGGATTTTAAAGGGAGAGAATGGAAGATTTTTTTTAACTGTATTTTCTTTTTTTTTTTCCTCTTGGTACTGGAGATCGAACCCAGGATGTTGCAGTTGCTAGGCAAGTGTTTTGCCACTGAGCTACATCCCAGCCCCAGTGGAAAGTATTAATAGCAAGAGTTCTTTAAAACTAAGATCTCTAGAATATGTAATGGCAGTGGGGTTTCCTTTTGTATTCTGGAGACATCTAAGGACTTTGACAACTACAGATACCTAGAGCCAGACTCCAGATTGATATAGATGATGGCCAAAGAGAATAGGCCTTTTAGAAGCTCCTAAATTTACATCCAAGATTGAGAAATAAACTATTTCTAGATTCTAGAAATAAACTATTTTCCAGGTTTCCATTTGGTTGAATTTTATTTTTTTGTCAAGAAACTTAACATGTAATCCTATACTAGTTTTTAACTCATAAATCCTAGGCTTTTAGAGCTGTTTGGTTAAGCAAAAGCTTAATTTGTTTTTAGAAGTAAAAGCAAATTTTTTAAACTGACTAAACTTTGGATTATTCTTGTAAAACTGGAATAATGGAAATCTTTATGCCTTTATCTGGTGTGGTAATATAAATGAAGTAGTTATATTATAAAAAGCATCCAGTCATTGGGTCAAGTACAAATCAAACACTTAATGGACATTAACCACAAAAAGGATGAAAAAAAATGAAAAAAATACCCTTTCCATAGGTGCCTATTCGTGTGTTTTTGGACCTATCGTCATTGCCCTGTTTACCTTTAAGCAAGCCAGTGGAACTCTTAAGACTAGATTTGATGACTCCTTATTTGAACACCTCCAGCAGAGAAGTGAAGGTAAGCTCAGCATGTAGTTACCACTTTTCAGATTCAGGATGATACTTAATTAAACTAGGTAATATTTGTATGTTCTACTTGCTGCTTTTGAAGATTTAAGTCTTCTGAAAAACATTCAAAAATTAATTTGAGCAAATATGATGAGCAAAATAGGCTAATATTTTTATTTGGGTGACTCAGTGTATTATTAAATTTCAGTATTTAAAATTAACTAAAAAGAGAAAGAAGGCTTAATCAATTTTCACTGGTGAGATTTTTGTGATTTCTTGCTTTCTGTAGGTACACATCTGTAGATCAGGACAAGTGACTGCTATTCCATTTTGGTTTCATATGTACCTTGATGAAGAGGTTAAATTGGACACTTCAAGTGAAGCCTCACACTGGAAACAAGCTGCAGTTGTTCTAGATAATCCCATCCAGGTGGAGATGGGAGAGGAACTCGTTCTCAGCGTTCAGCACCACAAAAGCAGTGTCAGCATCACAGTAAAGAAATGAAAGCAGTTTTCTAATGAAAACTGTTCAGAGCATCTAGTACAAAATTCTTATCCGAATTAGTGGGATTGTAATCATAAAATGGGTGCTGGTGGCACATGCCTTTAATTCTAGCCACTCAGGAGGCTGAGATCTAAGGATCAACGTTTGAAGCCAGTTTCAGCAGGAAAGTCCATGAAACTCTTCAGTTAAGCACCAAAACAGCTGGATGTGGAGCTCTTGCTCAAGTGGTAGATTATTAGCTTTGAGCAACTCAGGAACATCATCCAGGCCCTGCATTCAAGTCCCAGGACCAGCATGTGCACGCGCGCGCACATACACACATTTTCAGAGCCTTACTGTAATAGTAAGGAAAATTTGAAATGTTTACTGAAGACACAAGGTTTTTAAATACCAAGTTTATTCTACATACTCACTGTATAGAAGAGTAAAGGAGTGAGAAAGTCAGCTGCAGGAGGCATTATTTCCTGACTGACTTAAGAAAAGAACCATTTAAAAGCTGATATAAATAAAATGGTTTAATGCTAAGCCGGTTCTTTCCAAAGTTTTGATTTGAATGTACAGTAAGAAATAAAATTATCCTATATTTTATAGACTTGTGGAACGTGGAAATTAATAGGAAGATCACTTTGATACTTTGTGTGTTTTATTTGTATTAGTACTGGGGCATGATTACCAGTGCCCAGCAACTCTTGTGTTCCTTTTTTTGGCCAGTCCTGGGGCTTGAATTCAAGGCCTGAGTACTGTCTGAGGTTGTTTTGCTTGAGGCTAGCACTTTACCACTTGAGACAGTGTCACTTCCAATTTTTTCTGTTTATGTGGTACTGAGGAATCAAACCCAGGGCTTCATGGATGCCAGAGAAGCACTCTACCACTGAACCACCTTCCCAGCCCCCTTTATGTTCTTTTTAAGTATTCCAAAAAGCTACTGCTTTGCTCTGAATTGCCTGGTTTCATTATTTCTGTTATTAAACAAACCAGCATTTAAAAAAATCCACTGTGTGTAATAAAGATCTGTAACATGTTATGGTATAGTAAAAGGGTTGTTAATACTGAAGTATACTGAAGTACAGGATACCAGCTCCAATCTCAATATGACTGCCACATAAAATTTTCTTATTGTCCTCATACTGAACATATAAATCCTCATTTAGCTTTGTGTCCTGTGACCTACATCTCCCCATTCCATCCCTATCACTGTCTTCTTTCACATATTTTCTTCTTGGACTTTGCATACTTGAGTTGCTAGGTGGCAAGATCACCCTTTCTAAAGGCTGAAAATATTTCATTGTCTAGATAAATGAGTTTCGTTACACATTTATCAGACAAGTGGATATGTGAAATGTTGGATATTGTGGATGTTTGGATTAATGAGCATGGGAGTGCAGATGTCTTGGACATATGCCCCAAAGATAAGTCTAGGTTATCTTGTTTTAATTTTAATTTCCTTAGATCCTCTTGTGGTCCTGCTTCCCTGGACCCGCCCAATTTAGTGTTTTCCACAATGACCATACAATCTACATTCTCACCTGCATTTCAAAAGTTCCATTTCTCTGGGCTGGGAAGTTGGCTCAGTGGTAGAGCGCTTGCCTTGCATGCCTGAGGCCCTGGGTTCGATTCCTCAGCACCACATAAGCAAAAAGAAAAAAAAGCCGGAAGTGGTGCTGTGGCTCAAGTGGTAGAGCACTAGCCTTGAGCTGAAGAGCTGAGGGACAGCGCTCAGGCCCAGAGTTCAGGCCCCACAACCGGACCCAAAAAAAAAAAACAAAAACAAAAGTTCCATTTCTCTACACCCTTGCCAACATCCAACATTTGTTATCTTCTGGCGTGTGTGTGTGTGTGTGTGTATGTGTATGCATGTATGTATGCATGTATGTGCGTGTGCATGAGCGCACGCTAAAACTGGGTCTGAACTTTTTTACTCAAGTGCTCTGCCACTTTGAGCCACAGCTCCACTTGTGGTTTTTAGGTAGTTAATTAGAAATAAGTCTAGCAGCCTTTTCTGCCCAGCCTTGACTTTGAGCTGCAATCCTCATTTTTCAGCCTCCTGAGTAAGCTAGGATTATAGGTGTGAGTCACCAGTGCTCAGCTCACTAATTATTTTGAGATAGGTCTCAATTTCTGCCTGAGTATTTGTCTTGACCATGATCCAACAATTCTAGGGTTCCCGTTGTTGCTGGGATGATGCATCATAACTTTTTCCATCTAGTGTTTCACTGTGTTTGTGGGCTAGCCTCGGCTTTCCACATACCTTGGGTTGATAGTTATGTATTGCTTTGCTCAGGTATGGGTATGGGTCTTGTGAACTTTTCTTCCCAAGTTGACCTTGAACTGAGATCTTCCAATTCTCAGTCTTGAAGTTAGAATTACAGGCATGAGCCACTGGGGACCCATTCAGAGGTTTTGAGAAACAACTGATCCTTGCTATTTTCTAGATGCCATACATAGCATTTCTCTTTTATACTAAATTATTAAACATAACCCTGTAAGTACTCCAATTATAATTAAAATTCTCCTAAATAATACATTTATGTCTGGGGCTGGCAAGGTGGCTCAGTGGTAGAGGGCTTGCCTTGCATGCCTGAGGCCCTGGGTTCAATTCCTCAGCACCACATAAGCAGAAAAAAGCTGGAAATGGTGCTGTGGCTCATGTGGTAAGAGTGCTAGCCTTGAACTGAAGAGCTGAGGGACAGCATCCAGGCCCAGAGTTCAGGTCCCACGACCGACAAAAACAAAACGTAATAATACATTATGTCTTCAATGAATAAGACCATTTAACCACAACTTATCTTTTTGGTGGTACTGGGGAACATGAAATTGAGAGCTCATAGTTGCTAGACAGTGTTCCACCAACTTGAGGCATACCCTAGTCCTTTTTGACTTTAGGTATCACTTAGGTAGGTCTCAAGTTTTTGCTCTGGACTAGCCTTAGACCATAGTCCACCCATAGCTTCCTAAGTAGCTGGAAATCACAAGTGCCACCATGCCCAGTTTGTTGGTTGAGAGTGGCGTCTCACTAAACCCCACGTTGGCCTTGAATCATTATCTTCAGTCTGTGCCTCCTGAATATTTGGGATTACAAGTATGTCCTACCATACCCAACTTTGCTGCCACTTTTAGTAGCACTATGGTAAAACATGCTTTTGGTTTTTTAAAGAACTTTTTTGTTGTGCCCTAATCAAGATATTTTTGTAAGCCTGGCCACCAGTGGCTCATGCCTATACTATATTCCTAGCTGCTCAGGAGGCTGAGATTTGAAGATGGCAGTCCAAAGCCAGCTGGGCAGGAAAGTCATGAGACTTTTTTTTTTTGTTGGTCATGGGGCTTGAACTCTGGGCTTGGGCACTATCCCTGTGCTCTTCAGCTCAAGGCAAGTGCTCTACCTCTTGGGCCACAGCACCACTTCCAGTTTTCTAGTGGTTTATTAGAGGTAAGAATCTCATGGACTTTTCTGCCCAGGCTGATTTTGAACAGTGATCCTCAGCCTTCTGAGTAGCTAGGATTACAGACGTGAGCCACTGGAGCCAGGCTTCATGAGACTCTTACCTGCAATTAACTTCTAGAAAACAGGAAATGGTGCTGGGGCTTAAAGTGGTAGAGCGCTAGCCTTGAGCAAAAAAGCTCAGGGACAGCACCCAGGCCCTGAGTTCACGCCCACAACTGACAAAAAAAAAAAAAATTATCAAGCATACATTTGCAGAATGAGAGACATAAAAGTTGCAGAAAAATGATAAATTTTTATTTGTTGAAAGACATTCAATTGAGAAGTAGAGAAATAATTGTTAGGTAAGCTTATATGGCACATGATTATGATTAGGTTCCACTAATTTCTGAATTATGCCTTCTGTCCAGAGCATTATATTCATGCAGCAGTAGTCGAATTGCAGTTTGTTTTTTCTTTGTCCATCTTCTTGATAAAGTAATGTAATGCCAGGAACATTCAGCTGTAGTCATTTTCTATGGTTTGAGTATGTGATACTCTAATATTAGGAAATCAAGTCTAAGTCTAGGAAATTTAGACTGATTATTGTGATATACAAAACACATACATACAGAAATCCAATCGTTGTACCTGGCTTTCACCTATCTTTGTGTTGATATTTTCCCATCATTTTTGGCCTGTCTCAAGCACAAAATCCTGAGCCATAGGATACCAGGCAGCAAAATCACATGGTAGTAGTAGTTTGCTTCTTCATTGTTCAAGAGTCCATGGATTTATTTGAAGGCTCTATATTCCCTTCTGTAGTGTCACTAAGTATTTCATCAGCTATGTTAGCTGTAGTAGGTGTCGTCTGGGGAGTCACAGTGTGTCCAAACCCTTGGTAGTGACCCATGGGTGAAGGTGGCACAGAAGAGGCAACAGAAATTGCATCTTGTGATGATGATGATAACAAACTTGTATGTTCATTTTGATCTTGGTCTTCAGGAAAGAATTTTTTCCTAGGATGTCCCCTGACTGTCCGTCCTTTAAAATAATATAAACATTTCCACATATTTCCACATTAGCTAAAAGTCATTTCACCTTTATAAACTTAAATTTCAATGTAAGCTCCCCCTGCCCCACATTCTTCCCAAACCTGAGAGTGTACCATGGGTACTGTGCTTTAAACTATCCCACTGTCTTAAAATGAGTGAACTGCTCTAGTAGGAGACCTGTAATAACCTGTGTATTTTGGAAGAATTAAGTGGAACTTACCAACATGCCTTACTTGCTCAGAAATATCGTCTCTGATGTCTGAAACATCCCACATGGCAAGAAAGGAATCAAAGCACGAGCCCTCCTCTGCTTCTTGGACATATGGTTTATAGGAGAATGTGTAGTGATGAGCAATAGCAGCGAGGAACATTTCAATACAGATAATGAAGTCCTACAACAACAGCAGCAAAAATGTCAGTTGTCATTGGGGTTAAATCTAGTTTCTCAAATTGCCATTTTTCCTCAAGTATTTTCCAAAGGTACTTAAGTATTAATAGCTTTCGCCTAACATTATATTGGCTTTTCTATTTTCAATATTTAGCTTTACTTCAAAATTAAAATATTTTATATTAATGAAATCAAGTATTTCTTAACACATTGTGTTCTTAATCCATAATCTAAGGGCTAAAGGGGAAAAATCAGAAAGAAACATGGATTAAGGAAAACAAGAATTCAGATTCTATTCCTGATACTGTTAAAATTCTGTAATTATGGCCAATTTCTCTAGGGCCCTGCTGTCATCATTACTGGGTGAAGATAGAATGACAGCTGTAGCCCTAGCTTTAGTGGAAGTAACATGTGAAAACCCTTAAGAGAAAACCATTTGGTGAAATTTTGAGACAGCAGTACTTACCTGGAGTCCTGTGGCCACAGCTTCTACAGTTTGCCATTCCCATGTATGCTTTTCAGAAATAACGCCAACTTTTACCAACAAAGCAATAACTACTGCTTGCCTATATGTTAGGAAAAGGTAAACGCCAAATCTACATCAAGCATAAAATGAGCAGTTGTTTTAAAAATATGCCATTAAAAAACTTAATTACCACCACCCTGACTTTATAGCATCTTCCTGAACAAATTGCATCTATACAGAGAACCTGTATTACTTTACAAGTTAATTCTTCTATTGTAGTTTCATAAGATGAATTATACATTATGACTATGCATTAACAGGTTAGCACTTGGGGAACAAATATATAGTCTTTATATATTTATATGTTTTGAAAGTACATAAGCAATTGAATTTTAAGTCCTTCCTATGCATACACAATGCCTAACTTCATAAACAAGGCATTTAAAATAACAAAGGCAGGCACCTGTCTGTATGTTTTTTTATACATACATTATTCAGACATTTTAAAAAAGTAATAGGTATATATTTTTTTGCCTGTCGTGGAGCTTGAACTCAGGGCCTGGCCACTGTCCTTGAACCTCTCTATGCTCAAGGCTAGCACTCTACCAGTTGAGTTAAAGCACCACTTCTGGCTTTTTCTGTTTATGTGGTGCTGAGGAATCAAACCCAGGGCTTCATGCATGCTAGGCAAGAACTCTACCATTAAGCCACATTCCCAGCCCCTAAAAAGTAATTTTGAAATCAGTCTTGTATGAAGTGTTGTAGCTAGAGACAAACTATGAAAGGGTCTGACTCCTAAAATGGAATCATAACTGAACGCTTAAAACTAGGACAACATTCCCCAACATTAATTGCAACAGCAAATAATGAAGATGAACTTTCATAAATTCTTAAGTAAGAATTCTCTGGTTTACTGACAAACTATGACTTACTTGTACAGAAATGTTCTTTTTTTTCTGGTGGAGCATCATGGATTTTCTTTTCATCTTTTTATATTTAATTTCTGCACTTGTGTCTAGGACCTCCTACTGATCCTTCTCTAAACTTCGTTTCCCTCTCTCCTCTTTTCCTCCTCGCCTCTCCCCTCCCCTTTTCCCTTGCTGCTGTCCGTTGAGTCAAACCCAGGGTCTCTTAATAGCAAGTGTTCTACCTGAGCTACATTTCTACTCCTACCCTTGTATTTTAAATTTTTCTTGGTGAACATTTCCTCACATCATTAAATATTCTATATATCATCTTCTAAACAGTGTTGTAGTCTCTTATATGACAGAATCGTATTTGTAAAAGTTCCTTAGTATTGAGATACTTTGTTTATATGAATACTACAGTGACCATCTGATAAACATTTTAAGTAGAGACATTTTGACCACCTAGATTGATGTTATTAAAAGACTCTTCCTTAACAATCATATTGCCATTTAGAATGAGACTATTGAACAGCAAGCAACACTTACCAAAAAGAAACAAAAACCACCAGCTTTACACAAAGAAATTTGCCAACAGGTTGGATAGGACTGAGCTCTTCTTTCAGTACTTTATAAAACAGCAGGAGACAATACATGGCAAACTAGAGACAAAATTAATATTTAAACTTACCTCTGGTAAGAATAAATAAATATAGCAATAGGAATAAAGGTTATAAATCAGAGACCTGTTACAAAATTATTGTAACTGAGTTGTAAAATAAAGCACAAACATGTATTTTAAAGACTCAGAGGCTGGATTAGCATACTGCCCTGATGGAAAATAGTTTCTCTGATACCTTGTACTTTCAGATTTCAAAGTCACAATATTACTAAAGCTGTACTTAATGTTTCATATTATACTTACAATATTATATAAGAAAGACTAGGTAATATGCTAAGCCCTCATACAGTTAGTGGTAATTTATGTTTGAAAGTCATATGTTCCTTTTTTCATTATGGTTGATCCAATTATCTTCACTTCCATTTATGTCAGTCACTGAGCTCCAGGGCCTGGTGCTTACTAGGTAAGCACTCTGCCCGTGAACTATACTGCCAGTGATACACTGGCTCTTAAATACCACCATGAACTAAATTTAAATTGTCTCAGCCATTGTCTTTTTTTTTTTTTGTTTTGTAGGTCGTGGGGCTTGAACTCTGGGCCTGGGCGCTGTCCCTCAGCTCTTCAGCTCAAGGCGAGCGCTCTACCACTTGAGCTACAGCGCCACTTCCGGTTTTCTGGTGGTTTATTGGAGATAGGAGTCTCCCGGTCTCTCCTGCCCGGGCTGGCTTTGAACCGGGATCCTCAGATCTCAGCCTCCTGAGTAGCTAGGATTACAGGCGTGAGCCACCAGCGCCCGGCTGTCTTTTTCAAGTTCAGTTTACCTACCTTTTCTATACATTACATAGGACTATTAGTATTTATGTCTGTACGGGACAACACAGCATCACTCTTCATATGATTTTTTGAGCACAGCAGTTGTTCTATGACTTGAGCCATATGTCTAGTCCTACATTTTGCTGGCTAATGGGAAATAGAGTCTCATATACTTTTCTTGTTAGGCTGGCCTTGAACCTCGATCTTTCAGATCTCCTTCTCAGTAGCTAGGATTGCAGGCATGAGCTACTGGTGCCTGACTCAATAATTATTTTAATGACTGCCTATTATGGTCAACCAAACCCTATCAGCCTTGAATTGTTCTCAGCCCCTTTCTATTATAATAAGCTTCACATTCATGACAAAAATATTTCTGTCCATTCCTTAGAAGACATTCCCAAAACAGGAATTACACTGGTCACAAAGAAGACAAACATTTAGATACATAGCCATTTAATATTATAAAGCTTCAATACTGCACATGTATGCCACTGCATTTGAATTATTCTATTAAAAGCATTAACCAAAGATTTTAATAATATGCATACTTTTTAGGCTCACACAATCCAACTGTGTATCTTTAGATCATTTCATTTTTTAGAACATTATCATTTAAAACTTCTTTATTTTCCTTTAGAATTAGAGAACAGAAAACTGTATTCTCTCATTTAAACTCCAAACTGTTGTATACCAATCAGCCATTTTCTTTTACTAAATATTCCTATTGTGCATTTTCCTTATTAGAGTATTGTGCTTATATTTAAAGCACCCACACTGCTATTCCATGAGTAACAAACATGATCAACAGGTCATGTGTAAGTCACCAAGTAATTAACAAAAGGTATTATTATATCTTTATATTTTATAAAGCTATTAGTTTTTTAATTACTTTGCAAAACTTACAATATTTTAGTCCAAGAAGAAACTGTACCAAAAATTTTTAGGCTTATAGAAGCTAAGTACATTAAAGAAAAATGATTTGCTACATGTAATCCTAGCACCTGAAAGAAGATCCAGATGATTGCAATTTTAGGCCAGCTTGGGTGTGTGTTGTATGTTAGACTGTTTCAAGAACAGGAAAAGAAAAATGAAGTTTTACTTACCAGTTGTGACATATTATTTATTATAACCAAGTAAGTCCAAGCATTTGAAAAGCTAAAGTTCCCTTCATCATATATACCGACCAGTTCACAAATCCTAAAAAATGGTAAAAATAAGGCAACTTTATTATTAACCAAATGACACATTTTTAAATACAGTGACAGTATTACTTAAATTCGCAAGTTGGAATTGGTATGGTGGAATTTACCTGGTTAGGTACAACTACTAGTTAGAAGGTAGAGGTAGGAAGATTCTGGTCCAAGACCATCGCAAGGCAAAAAAGCATTAGAATCTAACTAAAAACATATGGCAAAAAGGCTGGGGGTGTGGCTCATATGGTATAGTATCTGCCTATTGAGTTAAACTCTAGAACCAACATAGCCAAAGTAGGTGGGTAGGTAGGCGCAGGCAGGTAGGCAGTTAGTTGGATAGGTAGGGTAGATGTCAAAATACGTGCTTTCGTATGAAAAATCTAGAAAAAGCTAAAGAAGGACTGGGTGGGAGAACTAGTGGGAAGGGGAATGAGTTGGGCAGGACATGATCAAAGTGCACTGTATAAACATACATAAAGGTCCTAAGAAACCCATTTTTAAGCAGTTGCAAGAAAGATTACAAGGGAGGGCTGAGGTGGGAGTAGGGAGAGATAGGGAAAATGATTAAAACATACTAAACAAATTATGTAATACAATGAAATCCTCATTTTATTTGAATGATCCTGTAACGAATCATATGAATTTGGCTAGCGTTAGCCCAAAAATTAAGTTTTCTGAAATGTTCTTAAAATTAGTTCTTAAAAACTAATTTGAAGGAAAGACCAAGTGATCTAAGAAAAAATTACTTTTAAAAACCTATGCTGCTTAATTTGAAATCTCATTGTCAAATATATGCATTTATGTATAATACTATACATAAATATATACAAATACATACATAAAATATATACATAAATATATATTATGTATATATTATGTATAATATATACATAAATAAATATATATTATGTATATATTATGTATATATATTATGTATATATTATGTATATATAAATATATACATAAACTATAGCACATTTTCTCCCCTATATTATTTTGGAGAAAATACTATGAAGATCCAAATCCCCTTGAATAAATTGTACTACCAGCAGGTTAAACATACAATCTACCTGAATAAATTAATAGATTTCCAGGTAGCTTAAGATACCCCTTTCTGCCTTAAATGCCTATAATGTTAGCTACTCAGGAGGCTGATAATTGAGGATCTCAGGTCAAAGCCAGCCTGCGCAAGAAAGTCCATGAAACTCTTATCTCCAGTTAACCACCAGAAAACTGGTGGCTTCATGTAACTAGCCTTGAGTAAAAAAGCTCAGGGACAGTGCCTAGGCCCTGAGCTCAAGCTCCATGACCGACAAAAATGAAACAAAAGCAGCTCAACTAACATGCAATATTTTTTGTAAAGCTGTATTAACATTTGAAAAAGAATTTCACCATCCCCACAGTGCTTTATAATATGCTTGAGAGAGGCTGTAGTGATTCCTTGCCTCTAAAATGGTCATGGTCTTTCTTAGTAGAGAAGACCTTTTATATAGGTTTTTATGGAAGGTTGGACTTATACTTTGAACAAGTAAACTCACACATTCACTTTAACTCAGCTAAGCCCTATTTAAGTATTAAAAAAATAGTCACATTAAGATTTATACTCACAAAGCAACAATGGTGGTAAAGGGTCGGACAACTGTGTACTGCAGCACACCCAGTTTGCACCTGAACAGCAATACTCTGCAAAGACAAAGAGGTCTTAGTATTTCAGTTCCTCATCTTTAAGCCTGCCAAATTAATATTATTTAAATGAATGACAACAAATTCATATTTAAGGGCTAGGAAGGTGGCTCAGTGGTAGAGCACTTGCCTTGCATGCATGAGGCCCTGGGTTCGACTCCTCAGCACCACATAAGCAATAAGAAAAAAGCCGGAAGTGGCGCTGTGGCTCAAGTGGTAGAGCGCTAGCCTTGAGCTGAAGAGCTGAGGGACAGTGCCCAGGCCCAGAGTTCAGGCCCCACGACCAGACCCTCCCCCCAAAAAGTAAAAAAAATTCATATTTAATTCCTTAAGTTTAGTCATCCATTAGATGGCAGTAGAGAAAACAAAGAAGTGATCTAAACACCATTTCTGCAATTATTATTTTTATCATTTCTGAAATTATTGGACAACTCTATCTTCTGAAAGATCACCCTCAAGTTCCAGAAGAGTTCCTGCTTTAGGTTTGAAATGTCCTCCAATGGGCTGGGAAGGTGGCTCAGTGGTAGAGCGCTTGCCTTTCATGCATGAGGCCCTGGGTTCGATTCCTCAGCACCACAAAAGCAAAAAGAAAAAAGCCGGAAGTGGCGTTGTGGCTCAAGTGGTAGAGTGCTGGCCTTGAGCTGAAGAGCTAAGGGACAGAGCCCAGGCCCAGAGTTCAGGCCCCACGACCGGACCCAAAAAAAAAAAAAAAAAAAACCCAATAAAATGTCCTCCAAAAGCCTAGGATCATGGTGCAACATTTGGAAAGTGAGGCCTAGTGGAGGTGAAGTTAGGTCAGAGGGTATGCCCTTGAAGGGAGAGGCTCCATGTTTCCAGGGTACCCAGAGGCAAGTAGGTCTTCTCCGAGCCACTGAAGGCTCAAAGCAGTGGCTCTTATCTCCAATTAAACAACAAAAAACTAGAAGTGGCACTGAAAGGGTAGAGTGCTAGCCTTAAGCAAACTCAGGGACAGTGCCCACCCAGGCCCTGAGTTCAAGCTCCATGGACCCCCTCCCCCTCAAAAAACAAAAAAAAAAGTCTACTTTGTCTAATTCCTAAAAGCTGCCAGTCCTTTGCATATCATTACAAAAACGCCTATCATTGGCTGGGAAGGAGGCTCAGTGGTAGAGCGCTTGCCTTGCATGCATGAGGCCCTCGGTTTGATTCCTCAGCACCACATAAGCAGAAAAAAGAAAAGCTGGAAGTGGCACTGTGGCTCAAGTGGTAGAGCATTAGCCTTAAGGTGAAGAGCTGAGGGACAGCACCCAGGCCCAGAGTTCAGGCCTATAACTGGACCTCCCCCCCCACCCCCCAAAAAAAATGTCTGTCATTTGACAATTGTTAACTATACTTTCTGGAGCTTGAACTCAGGGCTTGGGCACTGTCCCTGAGCTGCTTCTGCTCAAGGCTAACACTCTACTACTTGAGCCACAGCTCAACTGGAAATAAGACTCTCATATTTCCTGTCCAGGCTGGAGTTGAACCACAATTTTCAATCTCAGCCTTATGAGTAGCTAGGATTATACAGGAGTGAGCCACCAGTGCCTGACTTCTTCCTTAAATCTTTTTTTTTTTTTTTTTGGTCTTTTTGTCAGTCCTGGGCCCTGAACTAGGCCTGGGCACTGTCCCTCTGCTCTTTAGCTCAAGGCTAGTGCTCTACCACTTGAGCCACAGCGCCACTTCCGGCTTTTTCTGCTTATGTGGTAAAGAGAAATCGAACCCTGGGCCTCATGCATGCAAGGCAAGCACTCTACCACTGAGCTACCTTCCCAGCCCCTTTCCTCAAGTCTTTTTAAACTTGCTGTGTGACCTTCCATAAGATCTATAGACTTTGGTCCCTAATTGGAAAAGGATGTTGACTTAATATGTACATTACAAGTTGTATTTTGTTAGCTTCCAAATCTGATGACAATCTAAACTAGTTAGGGCTTCTTTATGTACTGCTCAAAGTACTTAAAAATCTTGCCTTATAGAGAGTTGACTGCAAAAATTGTTATTTTTTTCCCTCCAGTCCTGAGGCTTGAACTCAGGGCCTGGGCGCTGTCCCTGAGCTTCTTTTACTCAGGCTAATGCTCTACCACTTGAGCCATAGCACCACTTCCAGCTTTTTCTGTGTATGTGGTACTGAGGAATCAAACCCAGGGCTTCATGCCTGCTAGGCAAGTACTGTACCACTAAGCCACCTTCCCAGCCCTTGACTGCAAAAATTGGAGTAAAATCAAACATACTTACTCTCCCATAGGCCATGGTGGACAGCAACATAAAGGAGGGAAATGTTTCTGTTGATCTTTGGCTTCAAGGATTAATACCAGATTAGGATATCGGTTAGTTAGATAATTGGTAAGGAATCCCATGAAGTTGTAAATGACATAGGCTTCATAGCATTCTCTGCAAGTATCCACATATATTGCAATGCTGGGATATTTCAAAGCTATCCACTGTGGAAAAACATGTGTTAAAAAGTTAAAGCTTAGATTCCACACAATTCATTGCCTTAAACTAATGTTTAAACCTGGGATCTTGATACATACATTAAACTCTTCAAAACTTATCATTATGACAGCTACTGGATAGTTTGGAGATGGGGGGGGGGCGGGACAGAAAAATAGAGAGGGAGTGTGAGTGTGAGTGTGTGTGTTTCTGGGAATCTGAATGCAGTGTACTGTGGAGCTATTTTATCCTCAGTCTTGTGAAAGAAACCTTTTTTTTTGGTCAGTCATGGGGCTTGAACTCTGGGCCTGGGCACTGTCCCTCAGCTCTTTAGCTCAAGGCTAATGCTCTACCACTTGAGCCACAAGACCACTTCCAGTTTTCTGGTGGATTACTAGAGATAAGAGTCTCATGGACTTTCCTGTCTGGGCTGGATTTGAACCATGATCCTCAGATCTCAGCCTCCCAGTAGCTAGGATTACAGGCGTGAGCCACTGGAGCCCAGTGAAATGAACTTTTAAAAGTAGTAAATATTTTTAGATGAAAAAAAAAAGGGTGGGCATTGGGATAAATAGTGAACATGAGGAGAAAAGTTTAATTACTTGAGTTTCGCAATCCTGAAATTTTTCTTAATATGATCACAGAAAATGCTGCAGAGGCCAGGAAAGTGTATGACACTATCTCCAATTAACCATCAGGAAAACAAACAAACAACTGAAGTAGCTCTGTGGCTCAAGTGGTAGAGTGCTTGCCTTGAGCTGAAGAGTGCAGGGGCAGTGCCAAGGCTCTGAGTTCAAGCCTCATGACCAACAAAAAAAAAAGCTTATGCAAAAATAAAAAGAATAGGGGCTGGGAAGGTGGCTCAGGGGTAGAGTGCTTGCCTTGCATGCATGAGGCCCTTGGTTTGATTCCTCCTTACCACATAAGCAGAAAAAGCCGAGAGTGGTGCTGTGGCTCAAGTGGTAGAGTGCTAGCTTTATCTGAAGAGCTCAGGGACAGCGCCCAGGCCCCACGACCGACAAAAAAAATAAAAATAAAAAGTACGTATATAGAGCCAGGCGCTGGTGGCTCACGCCTGCAATCCTAGCTACTCAGGAGGCTGAGATCTGAGGATCGCGGTTCAAAGCCAGCCCGGGCAGGAGAGACCGTGAGAATCCTATCTCCAATAAACCATCAGAAAACCAGAAGTGGTGCTGTAGCTCAAGTGGTAGAGCGCTCGCCTTGAGCTGAAGAGCTGAGGGACAACGCCCAGGCCCAGAGTTCAAGCCCCACGACCGACAAAAAAAAAAAAAAAAAAAAAAGTATACACACACACACACACACACACAAATTATCTACAAGTGGACATTTTCACTTTTATTAATCTGATCCCTGTGAATATGTACTTTTACTACCTTAAGCATTTTTTAAGTACAGTATAATACTGTCAAACAAGTTCTTAGTTAATGAAATAAAAGAAACATACTTACACTATCCAAACTGTATATGGGTACCATCCAAAGAATCCTATTTGGAAAACAAAACAAAAAAGCATTTTTATTTAATAACTTATGAAATAGGCGAAGCCAACATTAGTAGAATGAAGACATATTAAGATTGACCTTATTATTGGTTTTTGTAGCTCAGGTTGTGTGTAATGCACTAAATGTTGCAGTATCACCCAAAGGGATATGGGTATAGTCAACAGCAGAAAGATGCCAGCAATAAACCACGCCTTGGTGTGTATTCCAACCTTAAGAAACAGAAGAACACATTAGCATTCATTCTAATATTGAAACTAAACTGCTCAAAAATACTTTTAGGCTCAATAGCTTCAATATTGGTAAGTAGCTATTTCATCTTCAAGACAAAACAGCTTCTTTGTATTTTTTTTGGAAGGAGGGCAACATCTTTCCTCAATAGATTAAGCATTTTTGCCTCACTGAGCCATTTGTAATTCCTCCTTCCCATCCTGCCCCCCTTTTTTTTCCAGTACTAGAGGTTGGATGTTGGGCACCTCAAACTTGGCCAAGGTTGGGACTCTACCACCTAAACCACACCTCCAGCGTGGCCTTTTTTTCTGATTATTTTGCAAACAAAGTCTTGTGGGCTCTTCTGCCTGAGCTGGTTTTAGACTGTCATCTGTTAGGTCTCAGCTTCCTAAGCAGTCAGGATTACAGACATGAACCACTGTTGTCCAGCTTTTGGTTTGGTTTTATGCTTGTCCTGGGGCTTGAACTCAGGACCTGTGCATTGTCCTTTAACATTTTTTTTTCCTCTCAAGGCTAGCACTTTAACACTAGAGCCATAGGTCCATTTCCAGTTTTCTAATAGTTAACTGAGGATTAAGAGTCTAATGAACTTTCCTGCCCAAGCTGGCTTCAAACTGAGATCCTCAGATATCAATCCTGAGTAGCTAGGATTACAAGCATGAGCCACCCAGAGCCTGGCTCTATATCAGCTTTTTAAGCATTAAGAATATAAAAACATGATCACTCCCCCCCATACTCTGTGGCTTTATATTTGATTTAGTTTGAAGATAATATAAAAGTTTCTGTGAATAAAGTCTAGAAATATTTTTAGGCTTATTGTTTACTTTTATGCAGTATTTCCTTGTATCTATGCATAAAAAGTTGATCTACCAACATTTTCTTCAAACTTTTATTGATAAATACTTCAGTAATCCTAGCTATTCAGGAGGCTGAGATCTGCGGATTGAAGTCTGAATTCTGAAGCCAGCCCGGGCAGAAAAAGTCCATGAGATTCTTATTTCCAATAAACTACTCAGAAAAGGCTGGAAGTGGTGGTGTGGCTCATGTGGTAGAGTGTTAGCTAGCCTTGAGCATACAGTGACCAGGCGCTGAGATCAAGCCCCAAGACTGGCAAAAAAGAAAAGTAAATTCTTACAGGTATGAAGACAATAGTATCTCCTGGTAGTTGGCTATTTGCTTCATATTCTCTGCTAAATTTTTTTTTACACTATTTACAATTAGTTGTACAAGTTTCACTCTGACACATCAATGTATTGTAAAACGTACTTGAATCAGACTCACCTTCCTCACTTTCCCTTATCCCATTTTCCAGTTCCCAAACCAAACTCAAGCTTCACTGTTCCATCTTCACACATGTACACATAGTATATTGACCCACCCTAACCTGGCTAAATTCTTTACATGTATTACCCCTCCCAGTTGATGACCATTGCAAGAATGCCATTCAAACAAACTGTTAATATATAATATTCTTCTTATATACAACAGTATCAACTCAGGGCATTATAATTTGAAAAATATTTGTTAGGTAATTACCTGATCAATGTTTTATTTTCTAGAAGCTCAAGCTCTAAAAATATGTTGAAATCATCTAGTCATGAAGCAGAACACTTTTTTTTTTTTGCTGGTCGTGGGGCTTGAACTCTGGGCCTGGGCGCTGTCCCTCAGCTTTTCAGCTCAAGGCGAGCGCTCTACCACTTGAGCTACAGTGCCACTTCCGGTTTTCTGGTGGTTTATTGGAGATAGGAGTCTCACGGTCTCTCCTGCCCGGGCTGGCTTTGAACCGCGATCCTCAGATCTCAGTCTCCTGAGTAGCTGGGATTACAGGCATGAGCCACCAGCGCCGGGCGCAGAACACTTTCTTATTTGAACCTCTGTCCTCTTTGGGCACTCCTAGACAATTCACTCCTAGACAATGAATTGTCTAGGAGTTTTTCTTTAAAGGAAAAAGCAGGCATTTATTTTTGTTATGAGGGGGTTTTGTGCAATTATTATAACTGCATAATTAATAAAAGACTGCATAATTAAGATAGAACCAAAGTCCACAATGTTAAGTTTTCACTGTTTTGAACAGGATTTTTCCCTCCACTAGGAGCCAAGATTAAAAAGCCCATGAAACACCTCTCTCCAATTAACCACCAAAAAGCTGGAAGTGGAGCTATAGGGTGCTAGCCTTGAGCAAAAAAGCTCAGGAGCAGTGCCTAGGTCCTGAGTTCAAGCTCCAACACTGGCACCAAATAAAAGTATTCAATGTTTCAATGACCTAAAAAGATAATAGCACAAGCATATTTTAGAGTTCTAGTGAGGTGATCATTAAGAATAGTACTACCTAGTAGTTTTCATGTTCACATTTGTTTTATGACTATCAGTCTAAAAGGTAGAACTTGCTAGTAGAACTAAAGGATGATGTGGTTATGACTAACGACAGTCAAACATCTATACAGTGCTATAAGGAAGAAAGTCTGCTACAATCAATCATAAAACAAATGACTAGTAAAATGAGTCATTACAGTATAGTCATGGCAAATTTTAGAAATCCTGTACCAAAGTATTTTTACCTTGCATAATACAGAGCTATCTTCAGCATTATTCTTAGATTGGTCAGCCAAAAAATTATTTTTGTTTGTTTATTTGGCTTAGAGAATGAAGAGATAAGTAGTTTTTTTCCTAAGGTAACAGGAAAAGAGAAGAAAGAACAAAACCACTTAATGCTCTCTTGTCTAAAATTTTAAAACAGAGTAAAGACAAATGGAGAATGCTTCTGGGACTAACTTTCCCAAGAGAAAGACAACCAACTTAAGAAGAACTCTGTGGATAGTAAGAATGAGGCATGGTGAACTTTCTAACAGCAATGTCATCATGATAGCATCTAGCATACTTGATTTTCAAGAACACACATTCCAAGAAAAAGTGTGAGGAAAACTGTTTCAGTAGTAAAGATGAGTAGCCATTGCTACTCCAATGTTTGAGAATTTGTCCCACTATAGACAATAGTTTATGAGCTATAGGATCCTCCTCTTTTCTACTACCTTAGTATCTGACTTCTCAAGTGTGACCTATGGTTGAAAGTACGTGTATTTTTCATCCAAAATGTCCCTGAAATAAATCAAAGTACACCTAATGTTCAAGCATATACATATACGGCGTTGAAGAGTCTAATTCTCAGCTATTACTGCACAAGAAAAGGTATTACTTTTCCAATGAAATAATGCCACTGAAACTTTAAAAACAATAGTAGTAAGAAGGCTCATTTTTCACTTTGCTGGACATGGATGATGCAATGATTTTGGCTATAAAGTACAATGCCACTTTTAGCCACTTATTATCTGCCTCAGTTTTCTTATCTATAAAATGAGGAAGGTTGAGTAGAGGAGTTCAAACCCTACAAGCAAGTAAATAAATGAATAAATAAGCCAATTATTTAGGCTACACAGCAAAACTGTTTCTGGGGGGGAAAAACAAAAACTAAGTTTCTATACTATACTTCGAAAGGATACTTCAAAGTAAGAAAATCCAATGTATTGAAATATGTATCTGTTTAATTAATGTCAGTTAAGAAAATAAGATGTTACCCCTACATTTTTGCAGACAAATACAAATACCTAAATAGCAAAGAAACAAGATTTAATAGCAGGTTAATATGCCACATTTAGGAGTGACTGTATGGACTATGTCAGCAGGGAATGTAAAAAAAAAAGACAATTTAGTGAACATAGAACACAAATGTCTAGATACAGCAAGTGTATAAAATTCATTTCCCTCATAAGAGATTTAAAGTAACTGAGGTCTTGTATTTGCTCTTCTAAAATAAGTGTCTCCATAAAAGTTCTTCTGATATTAACTATTATAATTTATGCTTCACTGTACATTTTTCCAGAGTATGTGTATGTTAGGTAAGTATTTACCTTGGGGTTTCCAGCATGAAGTGCTTTATTGATGTCACAATAAGAATATGACATACAAAAAAATACACTGGGTACTTTTTGCAAAACCTGGATTTGGGTATATAAAAAATACACAGGGTAATTTTTGCAAAGCCTGGTTTTGGATAAGAGATTAATTTCAAAAGCAGAAATAAAGTCAAATCTATTAGTATCCTAAGGTGGTTAAAACCTAATGAAATTCAATACATGGTTTTCAAGGTAGTTTATTTATCTAGTTGTCCAGTATCTGAACATCCAGATCAGATAACAGGAATAGAGTTACTTATTCCTTTGAGGTAATTGATGGATGGCTACATTTCACAGTAGTGCGTGTGCGTGTGGCGCGCGTACACTGGTGCATGCCAGTCCTGGGGCTTGAACTCAGCCTGGCCGCTGTCTCTGGGCGTTTGTACTCAAGGCTAGCTCAAGCCACAGCTCGACTTCCATCCAGCTTTTTGGTGATTAATTTGGAGATGAGTCTCATGTATTTTCCTGCCCCAGGTGGCATCGAGCTGTGATCCTCGGATCCCGGCCTCTTGACACACTAATCTGCTAAACAGATAGTTCTAAAGTATTTCCTCCACCCTGCTCACCTTCACCTGTAGCATTACTTGAAGGATGGCAAACAATAAATCAAGTTTATATCTAAACACTGGGCATGGTTTTCAGATACCAAACCACGAGGTGGTTTTCAGATACCAAGTTTGAGGGGAATCCAGGGTCGAGATGGGAGTCTGTTTGTTTTTCCCAACCGTAGATGGAAGAAAAGAAGGGTAAGGCGGACGGCGCAGGTCCCTCTTACCTCCAGTTTCTGTAATTCCCACACGCACAGGGGAACTGCCACGACTATGGACACCAGGTAGATGACCACAGCTAGAGGTCGAATCCACTGTCTCCAGTTCCTCCAGGTGCACGTGCAAGGCATGTTTTCGCATAGATCGGCTCTGAGCAGCGAGGACAAAGGGCTGGAGGGAGGTGGTGCCGGCCAGGAGCCTTATTCTCCGACGGGGCAGTCCACTCGCGTACTTCGGAGAAAGAGCGGCTGGGCGGGTGACTTCACCAACCGCCGGAGCTGCCTCCTGGGCCGGCGCGGGGCCCGGTGTGGCCGCAACCGCAGACGCCCGGGGTCTTGCTGCCAGGGAGCAGGGCGGGCTGCATCCTCTCTCCTCCACCCCGCAGCTACCCGGCTCGACCTCGCTGGAGGCTCCGGGCGGGGCCGCAGCCTTCACCTGGGGATCGCGCTCAGCCCGGCCGGCACCATGGCCTCCGGGACGCGGCGCCCTCAGGGACCGGCCTTCTAGAGACCCTGCCCCCGGCGGCTCTGCCCCGCGGCTACCGGCCTGCTCGCTCTTCTCTCGGGGCCCTGAACGCCTTCCCTCCTGCGCTCGCAGGCGTCGGGCCGCCCAGCTCTGCCGGTGAAACGGGGCCCCAGGGTTCCCTCACTGGCTCGCGCGGGACATGCCCCCACGGCGGAACTCCAGGCCAAACCGGGGCTGCGGGAATCGCTTCCGCTTCCGCCCCTGCTGCCTGAGGCTGATGATTGGTTGTCAACGTCAAACTGAGGCCGCCCCATCCGGCTCGCTTCTGTTTCTGATTGGTCCCTTCCGGGGGGCGTGGCCCTAGAGTTGCGTACCCGGTTGAGCGGGAAAAGGAGCTGCGGAGAGCCGTAGAGGGCGATTTAGTCACACTCTCTGGAAGGTGTAGGAGTTGAGAATATTTGAAGAACACCCACCCCAGACACCTTTCTCACCTTATTCCAGCCAACAGAGAGTCTTGGTAAGGGGCCTTTACTGTAGAGCTGAAGAGAGGAGGGCCAGTTTCCTCAGAGCGAAGGTTCTGGAATGAAGATAGGGTAAAGGGAGAGTTTTGTTTAGTTCAGTTTCGGGAGTCCAGAGACCGGAGGAGGGAGCTGTGTAGTTAGCTCTGAATTTTGCAGAAGAGTCATTCTAAAAATAGCTTAATTTTTGAAGCAACCACAAATACGGGATGTCTACATTTGGCACTTGTACTAAAAAGTCTCCTTCATTTAAGATTCAAAAGGTTGGCATTGTATTTTAGGCACTCAAAGCTTTTAGCGTTATGTACAAGTGGCAATTAGAATCTTAAAACCCCCATAAGTCAATAGCGCAAAGTGCTATTTCTGTTGGATATGTGAATGTGCCCTATATAATTATTGTCGTTTTCTGGAAACAGGCACTGTACCATTCTTAAGCTACAATATCAGTTGATCTGTGTAAACATTTCTGAGGGAGAAGTAGCTTTTTATTTTAAGGAATGAAAATGGGGCTTGCAATGTGACTTTGTGGTAGAGTGCTTGCCTAGCATGCATGAAGCCCTGGGTTCCATTCCCCAGTACCACCTACACAGAAAAGAGCCAGAAGTTGGCCCTGAGTCTCCAGTGGTAGAGTGCTAGCCTTGAACAAAAAAGCTAAGGGACAGTGCCCAGGCCCTGAGTTCAAGCCCCAGGACTGGAAAAAAAAAAAAAAAGTGGAAATGTTTAAGTGGTTGAGTCATTTGCCCAAGATCATGGAGCTAGTAAACAGTGGAGCTGGTCTCTAACCTTTGTTTCTTTGATTCACTGACATTTAAGTATTTGATCTGTCAGCACCTGCCACCCTGGGAATTTCTGCTTAATATACATATCAGTAAGAAGTCTTTCACTATTTGTGTACACTTGGTAAGGGAGCTTCACAGAGACACTGAGGGAATGTGTCTATTCTTTGTGTATCTGATGAAGTAAAAGTCTGGGCTTTGATTTCTACAGTCTTATTTGCTACTTTTTTATATCTCTTTTATAACCAAAGCTCTTTTCAATACAAACTCCTTTTTCAAGGAGGAAATAGGCCTTTTTTTTGGTCTTCATAATTAACTTTCAAAATTGAAATAACTTTCATCTTGATCATTAAATTGATGTATCTATAGGTAAACTTTAGAAAATAAAAGAATAAAGAAGAGAAAAGTAATCCTCACTCTACAAGTATAACTATTTACTTTCTAGTACACAATATAGACGTCCTTGGATGAGCTGTATTCATACTGCCTCTAATAATCTCCCCAGTTTTTCTTTTTCACATGGGCATACCGTTTCTACCTACTTGTGAAACCTTTCTTGAAGCCCTTCTCATAGCATTCTCATTGTGTCATAACTCATTGCTTACATATGGGCTAGAATGAGAGTTCTTTAGAGGAAGCTAAAGTTCTAGAACTGTTACAAAAGAGCTAGGGAATGAGGAGACCATAAATTCAGATGCATAAGTGATTTTTTCACACCAGTTTTGTCAGCTGGGATTTATCTTTGGTGAGCCTTCTGCAAAGCATCAGAGAGTGAGTTTTTCCTTTGAATTTATTTGCTCTTAAGTATTGTGCTTTATTTGGAAGTTGTCCATCCTTTTTAAAAAAAAAAAAAAATGATGACAGTAATACTTGGAGGGATTGTAGTGATTTTAACCCTTTGGTTGTAGCCCATCCCTGTAAATTCATGGTGGTTTAAAACCCACCTTCAAGTTATTTGGTACTTTTTCCAAAGGAAATCTGTGTTTCCTTTCCTTAAGTCTGTATGAACTTGTGTGATTAATTTGTTCCATTGCATATGGTTAAGGTAGCTGTAGTTACTGTATGTGATGTTTGATATGAGTCATAAAAGGCCAGGCTGCTACCCCTTGTTTACTGGAACACTCATTCCCACTGTCACAGGCTAGAGTGCTGTGAGAAGGCCCAGGACACATAAAGGCCTCTTGAAGGTACTCTAGTGGACACAGCAAGATTAGGACCCATGTGCCAGTCACATAATTGGACAAGCTGATTCCAGCTTCCAGGCTTTTCACTCCCTAGCCATTTGAGTTTTACAGCCAAGGTCATAGTCATGTGCACAGAGGAAAGCCAATATCTAATTTGAAAGGATCTCCTCTCTATAGGGATGATTTTTTTCTCTCCCTATAGCGTACTCTTAACCTAGGGGAAAAAAAGCCTGAGATTTTCCTTTTCTTAAGGAACATACTGGCTTCAGACTCTCACATGGTGCTACTCATGAGTTGTGTTTTAGTTTCAAAGAGTAAAAGGACACAGGAGAGATCTGACTAGCCCTTTACAGTGTGCTTAATTATAATATTTCCATTTTTTTCCTCCCTCTCAGTGGAAGGGAAAGTGATCTAGGCACCAAATGCTTAGGGGAGAATATAAAAGTGGTCCAGGTCATAATATTTTTGCTCACTTGGAAGTTCCTGCACTACTCTACGTACACCATGACTGATTTACTTCTAATTCCTCCACCCCTCCCCCAAGTCTACAACAGGTTAAGCTAAATATACTAGATATTTGTCACCTCTATATGTCAATGTGGTTTTTATCTCTTACAGATTCTCTCAAATATAGTTCATGGATAAATGTTATGGTTTGCATTTGCAAGTTTTGGCAAATATAATACCAAGTATGAAAATCTAGTTAACATCTTCAGGTTAAAAAAATGAATTGCCATGACTTGAAAACTTTTTGAGTAGTTTTACTTTGTCTAGTGGGTCTCATGATTCAGAACAGATGTTGGTAAAATATGATGTTGCAAGTTAATTCTGGTCCACAGTTGGGTTCTCTATGGTCCAATAGCTAAGAATGCTTGTTTTTTTTTTCTTTTTCATTATTGTAAAATATACATAACATAAAATTTACTGTTTTCATCATTTTAAATACATAATTCAGTGATAATTAGTGTATTTGCCACTATCATCTCTAGAATTTGCTAGTCATCCCAGACAAAAATCCTGTATTCATTCAGTAATTACTGTCCATTAGCTTTTACTGCCTTAGTTTCCAACCCTTATTTAGAATATATTTTCTAAATAGACTATTATTCTGTAAGATTCATTTATTTTTTCATCAGGAGAGTGATATTTAAATTTCAATAGAATTTTGCACACAGAATATTTGGTGAACTCTGCTTGGTCCCCAAACTAACACTTAACAATCACTGTTTGGTTTGGTCTATCTATCTATCTATCTATCTATCTATCTATCTATCTATCTATCTATCATCTATCTATCTATCTATCTATCTATCTATCTATCTATCTATCTATCTATCTATCTATCTATCTATCTATCTATCTATCTATCTATCTATCTATCTATCTATCTATCTATCTATCTATCTAGTACTGGGACTTGGATGCAGGGCCTGGGCACTGTCCCTGAGCTTCTTTTTCTCAAGGCTAGCACGCTACCACTTGAACCACAGCACCACTTTCAGTTTTTTCTGTTTATGTGGTACTAAGGAATCATGCATGCTATGCAAGCACTCTACCACTAAGCCACATTCCCAGCCCTTGTTTTTATTATCAAGAGTAAGATTTAGTAATTTTAAAACATGATTTACTGACCTGAAAGGGATCCTGTAGTAAATTCAGAGTAAGAGAGTTCAAAGGCTCCAATATCAAGTGAAAGAAAAGGCCCTACCATATGTAATTAGGTATGTAGAACTAAAAATTTCATTTCACTTCTAGTTGACACTGAGAAGCTAGTGTCCTTGAACCTCATCTTAAACTTCTTCATTTCTTGGAGTTCTTAGAATCTGTCTTATCTATTTTTTTTGGTACTCAGAGTTGAACCACGAACCTTGTGCATGCTAAGCTAGTTTTCTACCACACTCCAAACCCTTTTTCAGTTTTTCAACTGTTCTCACTTTTGCTGAGAGCTAGCTTGCATAGTTTATCTTCACCTCCTAAATAGCTGAGATTACAGGCTAGCACCGCCTGTTTGTTTTGTTTTTTGAGACAGGCTCTAGTGGATTTTTGTTTGTTTGTTTTCTCAGGCTGGCCTGGAGTCTTAATCCTCCTGGCTCTATCTCTTGAACATTGCTTTTTATTTGCTTATTTTGAGGGGTTGTACTAGGGCTTGAGCCCAGTCTTGTGGTTACTAGTCCTGCCTAATTTTTGTTT